CTCTCTCTGCAACCCCAACAGCTCCCTGGGACACAGAATCTACCAGCTCTGATTGGACCAAGAAGTAAGTAAATCTTCTACCACCCAGAGAGTCCTACCTCTAGGACCTAGGCCCTGAGGCACAACCCCCACCCATCGCTGACCCAGTTGTAGGCCAGCAAGGAAGACCCCTGCAGGCAGGCTTCCCCACCAACACCCCCCATCGGACCCTGCAATCTACAAGACCCACTCCCTACCCCAAACCCACCCATCCCCCTGCGACCTCAGCAGCTTCCTGAGACACAGAATCCCACAGCTCTGATTGGATCAAGAGCAGCTCCCTGAGACAGAAATTCGACAGCTCCAATTAGACCAAGAGCTAAGACTGGACCTAGAGTGGACCCTGAGACACAGACACAGCAAGCACAGACTAGAACAAGAGCAACTCACTCAGACACAGACACCTCTTGCACCTATTGAAGGAAGATGAGTAGATGCCTGTGAAAAAGTACATACAACATAAAGAACAATATGGCCCCATCAGAACCTACTAGTTCTCAACAGGAAGACCTGAACATCACAACATAGAAGAAGCAGAAGAAAGCGACCTTAAAATTAACTTTATGAAGATGATAGAGGTCTTTAAGGAGGAAATGAAAAAGTCCCTAAAAGAAATTGAGGAAAAGACAACCAAAATTGGAAGAAATCAATAAATCCCTTTTTAAAAAAAAGCAAAGAAAACCAAGAAAAAGCAATTAAACAGGTAAAGGAAACAGTTCAAGATCTGAAAATTGAAATAAAAACAATGAAAAAGACACAAACTGAGGGAATGCTGGAAATAGAAAGTCTGAGTAAACGAACAAGAACTACAGATACAAGCATAACTAACAGAATACACGAGATGGGAGAGAGAATCTCTGGCATGGAGGATACAACAGAGAAAATAGTTTCATCAGTTAAAGAAAACACTAAAGCCAAATAAGTCATAATACAAAATGTCCAGGAAATCTGGGACACCATGAAAAGACCAAATCTAAGAATAATAGGGATAGAAGTAGAAGAATACCAACTCAAAGGCACAGAAAATATACAAACAAAATCATAGAAGAAAACTTTCCCAACTTAAAGAAGGAAATGCCTATGAAGATACAAGAAGCTTACAGAACACCAAAAAGACTAGACACCCCCAAAAAGTCCCCTTGCCACAAAATAATCAAACCACTAAACATACAGGATAAAGAAAGAATATTAAGAGCAGCAAAGGAAAAGGGCCAAGTAACTTATAAAGGCAGACCCATCAGAATAACACCCGATTCCTCAATGGAGACTGTGAAAGCCAGAAGGTCCTGGACAGATGTAATACAGACACAAAGAGACCATGGATGCCAGCCCAGACTACTATACCCAGGAAAACTTTCAATCACCATAGACAGAGTGAACAAGATATTCCAAGACAAAAACAGATTTAAACAATACCTATCCACAAATCCAGTCCTACAGAAAGCACTAGAAGAAAAAAAAATCCAACCTAAAGAAGTTAGATGCACCCACGAAAACATAGGCAATAGATAACCCCACAGCAGCAAATCCCAAAGAACAGAAATACACACACACTACCATCAAAAGATAACAGGAATTAACAATTACTGGTCATTAATATCCCTTAATATCAATGGACTCAATTCGCCTATAAAAAGACAAGCTAACAGAATGGATATGAAAACAGGATCCATCCTTCTGATGGATACAAGAAACACACCTCAATTTCAAAGACAGACACTACCTTGGAGTAAAAGGCTGGGAAAAGACTTTCCAATCAAATGGACTTAAGAAACAAGCTGGTGTAGCTATCCTAATATCTAACAAAATAGACTTCAAATTAAAATCAATCAAAAGAGATCCAGAAAGACATTACATATTCATCAAGGAAAAAATCTACCAAGATGAAGTCTCTATTCTGAACATTTATGCCCCAAACACAAGGGCACTAACATATGTAAAAGAAACATTACTAAAGCTTAAATCACACATTAAACCCCACAAACTAGTAGTAGGAGACTTCAACAGGGTGCTAGAGAAGTTCCCAGGAATCCACAAGGATGACCCCAGCAATAGTAGAGAGGGTACCTGAACTGGCTTACCCCAGTAATCAGATCAGTGAATACCCTAACTGTCATCATAGAGCCTTCAGCCAGGAACTAATGGAAAAAGATGCAGAGATCCATAGCCAAGCACCAGGCTGAGCTCCAGGAGTCCAGTCTGAGAGAGATGAGGGATTCTATGAGCAAGGGGCATCAAGATCATGATGGGAAAACCTACAGAGACAACCAAACTAGTGAGAACTCATAAACCTTAGACCAACAACTGTGAAGCCTCCATGGGACTAGACTAGGCCCTCTGTATAAGCAAGACAGTTGTGTATTTTGATTTGCTTAAGGGGCCCCTGGCAGTAGCATCAGGATCCATCCCTGCTGCATGAGCTGGCTTTCTGGAGCCCACTACCTATAGTGGGACACCTTGCCCAGCCTTGATGCAGGGGGAGGGGCTTGGACCTACCTCAACTGAATGTACCAGGCTCTGCCTACTCCCCATAGGAGGCCTTACTTTGTGTGAGGAGGGAACGGGGGGGGGGGGTTGTGGGGGGGAAGGCTGGGGGTGGGAGGAGGGAAGAGAGTGGGATCTGTGGTTGGTATGTAAAATGAATAAAAAATTTCTTAATTAAAAAAATAAGTGTACATCAGCACACCTGGCTTTTTATATGGTTTCTGGGGATGGAAATCAGGTCCTTGTGCTTGAAGCAGCAAGCAATGGACTGTCTTCCCAGCTTATGATGCTTCTTAATTCTGTGTTCATAAAAGCAATCAGTACCTCTGCTCTGTATGTTTCATGACACCATAATGCCTGGCTTCCCTCTGCTTTTGAACTCTGAAGTTTCAGATATGTTCCGTTAAGGAACAAGCAACACCTACTTACTTGCTTTGGAAATTCTATGAAAGTAAGAAGATCTTTAAAATGTTCACTTTGAGCATATGAGTTTGAGGTTAACCAATTAACACCCACGTTTTTTAAGTGTTCCCATAACCTTCATAGAACCTGTGTGGTTTTAGAACTCTTAATCCATCTGGCCTCTATTCTGTGAATGATTCCAGCTTATCTCATGTCAAACTGCACAATCCATTCCCCCAGCAATATATTCATATTCACTAATAGGAACGTGACTTATGATAATCTAATTAGGATGACTCACGGAGTTTTGTTTATAAGAGCTAGAAAATAAAAAGTACTTTCCCTCCCCCATATAAGTAATAAACACAGGAACACACATCTGACAGTCAACACATACCATGAGAGGATCACATGACCAAACTTGTAAGGAAAAGCAACTGTGTCTATCAAAGCATCATCCTGGAGAACTCAATATCTCACAATAGTGGGTCAGGTGGGAACTCTTCCTCAACAGCAGAGCTCTGAATCTATGATAAATTTATTTCTGTACACATATAGCCAGGGATGGAAATGCCCTGCCTGGGAGTTAGGGTTTTATGTTTTGTACACTCAGGAGTTAGTTAGAACCAAAAAAAGGAGTTAGGTAATCAGTTTAAATAATGTACTTCTGGTATGGGAGGGATGCTTCTTAAGGAGAATATTTACCCAAGGGTTGTTTTCCTGTTAAAAGGTTGGGTCTCAAGGCAGCATCTCTTCTGGAGCAAACATATAACCACATCTACTATGAGAGGAGAATGTTGTCATTCTTAATTGAATGCTTTTGAGTTCTGACATTTCTCTGATATCTTTAAATATTTGGATTGTAAAGGATCTCAAAACAGCCAGTTCTTCAAACAAAAACAAAAGCACTCAGCACCTGAACATTTTTCCTTTTGCACTAAAACCTCAAGTTTACTTTGTCAACCTGCCAAAGTGACTGTGAACACTGCCTTATTCACACCTGCCATGATGTCATCAGTGGAGACAGTGGAAAAGACAGTAAGAAGCTGAAAGTGCATTGCTCATCTGCTATGTTCAGCCAGCCAAACAGGACAGAAGGCCAGATGGATCCATATCTCTGTGGCCTCTGACATATACTCCTAATTTCATAGAATTAACTGTCACTACTGCTTTTTAACTCTCAAAGCTCTCTTTTTATCCATCCTAGCAAAGGAAACATGTAACAAATCTCGGCAAGAATCACTTAGTTCATTTTAATTCTCTAGGAAGTACTATTTTCATACCAACTTTAAAATAACACATTTAGTCCTAATTTTTTTGGGGGGGTGGGGAACTTCCAGAGAAAAGGATTTTGCCTGTAATCTCAGAATCCAGGATTCTAAAAACACTTATGCTTTTTGCTATAATAAAAATAATAATTACTATTTTTGAGATTGTGGTAAGAAAATAAAGCACACCATCCCCAGAGTGCCTCACTTACAGAAGCACGGCTCCATGTGCAGCCTACTTTAGAAACAAACCAATAGGATCTAAGAAAGTCAGATTCTTCAATAACTTGTAAAGTTTTCTATAAATTAGCCTAAAGTATTTTGAAAGAACAATTGCTAATTGTTTGTGGCTTGGCTTTCCTGTCCAAACTAAAGGACCATCGCTTAATCTTTTGTAACATCTTTCCTCGGAGAAGCTATGTACAGACATTTGTCATTTGTCTCCATGAGGCAGTTTTGAGTTTGAAGGAGACACATTCTTCATTTTTCACTTTTGAAATGCATTTGTAAGGTATTTAATGGACAATCAGATCTTTTTAGATAAAGTGAAAACAAATTCTAAAAGCCTTGTTACCTTGTAATGATTCAAAGATTTACGTCTGAAAAATAAAATGGCTAAAGGCCCAAACTGAAGAGATGTGTTATAAACAATAGGTCTCCTCTTTTAGTTTCTTCCGATTAAAAAGGGGTATATCTGCTGTATGTAAGGAAAGAAGAGAAGGGATACAAATTTAGGCACAAATAGTATCTGGTATTCTATAATACGGGAAGCAAAAAGTTTATCTATCACATGAATGTAACAGTGAGTCACCAAAACCACAAGCTGCTTTATTCATCACAGATGTCAGTTAAAATATACTTCCTCTTAAACTAGCAAAATGCATTGAGGAAAGGCACTAAGGGCTTAAGAGTAGTGTCATGACTCCTAAGAGAAAGGAAGAGTCAGACTCTGGGGCCCACAGCTAAAGATCTAAATGGGGCATCAGCAGAGGTAAAATGTGAGAAATAGAAAACCAGTGGTGGAATGAATTGTGCACATGAGAAATATGCCTTCAGAGGGTCCTGGTAGCATGATCTAAATCTAAATGCAAATACATAATTAAAAAATAAGAAGTAGCTTCAAAAATAAGTTTGTAAGTCTAGTAACATCGAGAAATTCCCTTATTTGTTCATTGCTTGTACTCTATTAGCCCCACCGAGTGAAGGTCAGGGAAAGAAAGTGTGCTCTTCCCTGCCCTTTTCTCAGAAGTAGATGTGGATCAAAGGGGACTACAGTGAAAAGAGCTTATTGAAGCAGAGTTGACAGTAGGTCTTGTTGTTCTGCTCTCTGAAGATGCCTTTCGACAGCTGTGTCAGACAGAAAGCACACACAAAGTGCTCAGGATGAAACTTGTGCCCCATGGCACTGATGCAGCGGCCAGTGATGGGCTGCCCACAGCCATGGCAGAGGGTCCCTCGGCGGTGATGGTAATGGAGTTCACAAAACGGACGGCCATCCAGTTCAAAGAAGGAGCCAGAAGAAAAACTGCAGAAGCAGTCCTAAGGATGGAGTGAAGACAGACAAAAGAAATGCAGGTCAAGAAATAATGCCACCAAGTAAACTTTTCATCTTCAAAACTCCTGCCAGTTACCTGCCAGTTGTAAGACTTATCTCAGGTCCTTGACAAACAAAGGCTATATTTACACATTTGCAAAACAGACCAGCAAACACCCACAATGGGTGCTGTGTGCTACTCTTCTTTTAAAAAAAAAAAAAGTAATAAAACTAACATGGATTCCTCATCTTGGGCTAGAAACTATCTCACTAAGTAGCAACTAGTCCTCTCAGAGAAGAATACTCTAATTTTCCCTAAAATCGAAGGTAATTGAGCATACAAACCCCACACACAAAGCACTCTGGGTGCCACACAGTGTTCATGGCTGAAAAGTAGTTTTCCAACACAGGGCGGTTGCAGCCACCACACTTAGGTGAGAACATGGCTAGGAAATCTTTCCGGCAATATGGCTTCTTGTCCTTCTCATGAAAGCCTGAAAAGATAAAATCAAAGATTCATAGTTGTAGTCTTTGAGTCCTTTAAAGCTACATTAGAAGCAGACCATGAGTTCATTATTGTAAACTGCCCCCCAACTTTAGTATCCCCATGCTCAAAAAGGAGATAATGCAGGTGTCTTTCAGCATTGAATCTGGATCACAGTCTAAGTATTAAGGGCTATTTCTCCTTAACACCTTGATACAAAGTGTTCCCTTGATCTGAAGTTCTGCTCCTGACATTGATACAACTGTGAGTCAGCTCAAATGGTCATCTTCTCAGAGGCATCAAGCCAGTCCTTCTTTGTCAATTTACCTGTCTTCATTGTCCTTATAGCACTTACTTCATCTTAAGTCTGATAGCACTTAAGTCATCTTATAGTCTACCTTCCCTCACTGAACATTAGCTCTGAAAGAAACTAGATACCATTGGTCTTGCTACCATTATCCCCCCAATATTTAAAATATTTTAAAATAAAATAACATTAAATAGTAATAATCTTTGATAAGTTATCCATAGCAAACAGTCAGGAGAAGAGATAAAATTCACATTCCACCCCTAACTTAAATGCATCCTAAATTTGACCTCTCCATGGGAACTGGTAGATCAACTAAGTGCGAATCTCCTAATCAAAACTGTGTAAACACGAAAACCCACCCTGTGCCTCAACAGCCTGGTGATATGCAACAAAATGTACTTAGTGGATTGTTCAAGCTGCCTGTTCAAGAAACATTCTAGAAATCACAGTAGCCAGATCACAAAACTGTAATAGGATGTCAGGGCTATGACCCAAATCACACAACTGCTCTTCTTGCCTTTAGTTCTTGCCACTGTTGGATATAGCTTGCTTCACTCAATTACGCCTTCTCTTAAAAAATGGGTTAGTTTGCAAAATTATAAAGCCTATGGGTCTGAGAATCCAAAGTATGCCTGCCCTGTGTTTTTCCTCTCAACCCCACAGACTCAAAAAGCTTGCTTTACTTTTCTCTCTTTTTCTTTTCTGACCCATTCAAAAGATGTCTAGTGTCTGTTTAAGAGAAAGTGAATGTCAAACCCCTACTACTTAAGGAAAAAAAAAACCCACCTATGGGCATCTGTCTTGCTTTTGTGTAAAACAGTATTCTTTTTAATTTCAGCATGCTTCACTCACCTGAGAATTTGTTAAAATGTAGATTGCTAGGTCCTCCCTGCCCGCCTCCTCCACCCCCACACCAGGGTTTTCATTCACTGTTTCTAGAATGGTACTGAAGATTTTGCATTTTTAACATGCCCCCAAGTGATGTAAGTTGGTATTTCTTAAGAAAGCTGCAAGACACACCACCTAACCTAGGTATGAACCCCATTTAGGAATCTGCAGAGCAGTTGGTCTCCAGAGTGAGACAGTAGGGGAGTAACAGCCTCCATTTCAACTTGGGTGAGTCTCGGGAGGGGAATCAAAGCAATCTACCAAACTTGCTATAATGTTCCCATACTTAGTAACCCAATAAATTGGGAAAGTTTCAGCATTACTGTCCCAAAGGCTCTCTCCGGGGCCAATTACCTCAAGAGAATGAATGAGAGACACTGACAATTAAAAGTTACCACAGAGAGAGGAAGAGTGTTCTCACTCCAGTGTGACTCTTAGCCACAGGGGAAATTAAAGAGGACCTGCATGGCTAGGATAATGAACACTTAAAAAGAAAGATGGGTAACACTGAGGACATAGTCCCCTAGGAGAAATGGTAAGGACCAATGCATTTAGAAACTTGAGCCTTAAAGAGGGATTCTCTGAATTGAAGAAGAATGCAGATGAATTTAATTTCCCAGGAGGTTTCATGGCTTAGCTGTTATTGTTGAAACTCTGTATGTGTATGTAGCCTGGAATAAAAGTCAGTATGCTATCTAATTAATGGACTGACCATATGGCAGGAGACCCATTTACAAAAAAGCCAGGAAAAAGAATGGAACTACAACCCAAAAGGAGCTTCTAACTAATAAATGGCTTCATTGCCATGTGCCTCTATTAATACATGTTTTCAGTGTGATTTCATGCTTATTTCAAATCGTAATAAACCAATGAACCCTGTAAGGTTAGGAGGAGCCCAACAATGAAACTAGATGTTTTCCAGCCATCCTAAGGGTTGGGCATTTTTCTTTTGTACATAACTATGGCTGTTCTTCAAATATGCCCTTACCTGTTTCCAGGCAATTTCTACATCATAATTCTCAACGGACAGTGCTGTCCACCCTCTCCTTATAGGTCATCAATGATAAACCAAAGTACAATTCCACGAAAGTTCAACTTAGGGGATCATTGAGTTCACTGGGTTTATAGAGTGTGGGTAACCCCGAAGCAGCCACACCACCAGAAAGTCTCCCTGAGCATGGACAACAACTTCCTTATAGCTGCATAGATAGAGGTTTCTCTTCCACTAACCTTACACACACTGTATGTTCTAGCACCTCTCGAGAACATAAGACCATGGACCACTAGAGCAGAATCACATTCAGCTGGCCAGGAAATGAACTTCCTTAGCCCCTTTTTCTATGAAGGAGTACCTACAGTCAACAAGCCCAATTAGGGTCTCCTGCAAGTAGCCACCCCTGCTCAGATGAAGGGTATGATTGTTATGCTTGGGAGGAAAGCATTCTGCAACAGACAGTATTCATTTAATGACTATTTATTAATTTATTCTAATTAATTCTCATACTTCTATTGCTACTGATAAAGGCAAATATGAAACACTTTAGTGTGATTTAGACTTACTCAATAAAAAGTGTTGCTTAACTAAAGTGCAATGTAGACATGAAAGACCCAATGATTTATTAAGTGCATTGAACAAGCTCCAATGCACAGGCAAATCACTACAAAGAACTTTGTTAGTACATTATGTCAATGCTATTGTATCTGTGTCTATTGCCCAGTAAAGTACAAATTAGTACTGAGAAAGTAAGATCTAGCAACAGGAGAATTGAGTCTCGGTCAAAAAGCAGTTAGAATATGTTAGCAAAGGTGTGGTGTGGAACTTACAGAAATGAGACCAAATGAGTTCAAATTCCATCCCTTCAACCTTCTAGTTCTACTTTAGGGCAGATGTCTCAGTCAATAAGGTGCTTGCCTTGTAAACACAAGACAAGGAATTGAGTTACATCCCCAGAAAGAACCCACCAAATAGGCTAGCAAGCAAGCAAGCAAACAAACAAACAAGTAAACCAGGCATAGTGACACACATTTGTAATCCAGAACTGGGGAGACAGACAGTTGGTATCTTGGGGCTCACTAGACAGACAGCCAATTGTACTTGGCAAGCTTCAGGCCCTCTCTCTCTCTCTCTCTCTCTCTCTCTCTCTCTCTCTCTCTCTCTCTCTCTCTCTCTCTCTTTCACATACACACATACAAATTATGGCAGCTGAGGAATAAAACCTAAGGTTTCCCTCCAGCATCCATATGCATGTGTGCACCTGGGAGGTGATGTAGGAAGTCATCATCACCTACATAGTAAACCTGAAGCTAGCTGGAGCAACAAGACACTCTGCTGATCCAAAAACAAAATGAACAATAAAAAGCGGGTGAGATGCCAGGACAATTCAGAAAAATAAATCCTTGCAAACTATTAAAATGGGTCACATAGAAAAGAGAAAACAGGGATGATAGATAGTTCTGTGTGTAAAGGAACTTGCGGCCACACCTGAAGACCTATGTTCAATCACTGGGACCCACATGGCAGAAGGGGAGAACTGACTTGCACTTGATGTCTTCTGACCGCCACATGTATGTGGTGATATTGTGTCCCCAATATATTGTGCACCCTAATAAACTTATCTGGGGTCAGAGGACAGAACAGCCACTAGAGAGACGTAGAGGCCAGAAAATGGTGGCACACACACCTTTAATCCTATCACTTGGGAGGAAGAGATCTATCCCGATCTCTGTGAGTTCAAGGCCATACTGGAAATAGCCAGGCATGGTGATACATGTCTTTAATCCCAGGAAGTGATGGCAGAAAGCAGAAAGGTATAAGGTGTGAGGACCAGGAACTAGAGGCTTTTAGTAGCAGGTCAGCTGAGATCCATTTGGATGAGGACTCAGAGGCTTCCAGTTTGAGGAAACAAGATCAGCTGAGGAGTTGGAGAGGTGAGGTTGGCTGTGGTTTGTTCTGTCTCTGATCTTTCAGAATTCCACCCCAATACCTGGCTCCTGAGTTTTTTATTTAATAAGACCTTTTAAGATTCTTGTTACACATGTACATCATGGTAGTCTCACATTTACAGACAAAATAAAAATGCAATAAAAATTTGGGTAGTATAAAACATGAAAATAGAATCTCAATGAAAACCTCTCAGTTATAGAAGCTGAATGCAGTTTTAAGAATTATGAGTGCACGGGTGGTGGTGGCACACGCCTTTAATCCCAGCACTCGGGAGGCAGAGCCAGGTGGATCTTTGTGAGTTCGAGGCCAGCCTGGTCTACAGAGCGAGATCCAGGAAAGGCACCAAAACTACAGAGAAACCCTGTCTCAAAAAACCAAAAAAAAAAAAAAAAAAAAAAGAATTATGAGTGCAAACAGTTCCCACTATATATTAATATAATTCCTATAGAATTCTATATTGAGGCAACTCAAGGGCAGAATAAAAACATGTAAGAAATTATCTAAATTATAGAAGAATCACAAAGAAAAGGAGAAAAGGGAAGGAGATGCCACTATGCAGTATCAGTAAGGGTTTTTGATGGTTGTTTTTGTTTGTTTGTTCTGTTTCATTTTTATAATGTAAATTACAGGAGTGGCCTCTAACTTGACAGAACTAAGGCTGAAAGGGATAGCCACTTTCACTGTTGGAGTCTTTAGCATGAGATCTCCCAGCAACTGAATGCAAAGTACCCCTCAACTTTAGACAGGACTGGCTCAAAGTTTGAAAAGCCACTGGAAGATCTGATGCCCCACCCTCTCACAAAACACAGGGACTATTTGAAAGTATTTAGTAGAGTGGGTGCTCTAGCATACCTAAGAAATAAATCAAGTTCCCCACTGGGAGCGAGGCGGGGGAAGGTGAATTAAGAAAAACTGGCAAGTTAACAGCTTCTCTGTCATCAAAGCTTTCCCACCTGGTTAAGCTCAGTGGGCCTCAACAATCAAACAAACAAACAAAAATATCATCAACAACAAAAAGTCATCAGTGTGGAAAGGGTACTACACGTCAGGAGGAGGGAGGAGGTAAAATGAGGTAGATAGGACATTAAAGAAAATTATAGCAATCAGGATGCACATTAAACATGTACGAAGTTATCAAAACACAATCAAAGGAAGAAGAAATGGGGTCCAGGAAGCAGAGGATCTGAAGAGAAAGGTAGTAACAGCAGACTCTAACTTAGGGAGAAGAACCAGAATGACTGCTACTTAGCAGGAAGAAAGCATTTCAGGTTGGAGCAGGAGGGTTGGCCTCTCTTGCCAGATCACCAATAAAATAAAATGGAGCAGACTTCTTACCAGATGCAGCTAACTGTTCTGATAAGAATTTCATGGCTCTATCAGGTAAATTAGTGGCAATTATAGTGAAAACTAAGCTAGAGGAAAGCAACTCAAATTTTAATTCCAAGGGAAAAAAAAAAAACGGTTCATACCTTTAAGTAATAGGGACACACTGTGTGTGTTTGGGGGGAGGGGGTAATTGTGCGTTTGCATGTTTGTGTGAGTACAAGCAGAGAGCATATGCCATGATTCATGTATAGAAGTCATGAGCAACTCTGATGGCAGTCCTTTCTTTCCATGTTGGAGACAGTCTCTTTTGTTTGCACTGTGTACATTAGGCTAGCTGGCCTGCGAGCTTCTAAGATTCTCCTGTCTCCACCTCACATCTCTGGTGGGAACACTACTGTCACAGACTTGCACTACCAGGCCTAGCTTTTAAGCAGATTCTAGGGATTCACTCAGGTCTTTTTAATTTCGTGCAGCAAGGGCTTCACCTACCAACCATCTCCTGAGGGCACAATCTGTTTTTAAATGATGAATTTTTACTTCTTTAATTCAAAAAAAAATCAGTTTAAACTAAAAGTGGTAATGTTAGGGAAAGGTGGAGAGATGACTTCCAGGCATGAAATTGGCTTGTAAGTGGCAGTGCTGAGAAGAGAAACTCAGCAGACAGCAGTCCTCAAGGAACAGTGCTGCAGGCCTTCCCATCTCTCACCCTGGGGTTAGCTGTAGCCTCTCCTCTTACCTTCTGCACCAAACACCTCTCCACAGTGAGAGCAGAAGAAGTGCTCTGGGTGCCACGTCTGGTTCATTGCTGTCAGCACTTTCTGCAAATGGACACATGCAGAGGTATTAGAAGGCTACAGAGTTGTAAAACATGTCCAGTGTTCCTAATGAGTGATCAGACACTACATGGAAGCTGGCAGGGGTAGGGAGTTACTCACATCCATGATGGGAGAAGCACAGTAGGCACAGCGTGGAGAAAACAGATGGTGGTAGTCCTTGGAACAGTAGGCCAAGCCACTCCGCTCAAAGAAGGGACTGGAGCCAATCTCCTCCTTGCAGTGAGTGCAGACAAAGTGCTCTGGGTGCCAGGATTGCCCCATAGCATGGATCACCTGCGGATATCACAGAGCCTGACATGGCAGTGCAGCACTCTGTATGCTGCATTCCATGTAGACAACACCTCCTGAGTTAGACACAACCTCGGCCCAGATCTAGGTTACACTAAGGTCATCTGTGACCATTTCTTAAAGGATAGTAAAAGGGATGTGCCATATTGACTAATAAAGAAGCCAAGCAGATTTTACTCCTCAGCTCTGAGCACCTTGCTTCTCAACCTTTCAGAGTCAAATTGGAAAGCCCTGTACTATGTGGATTTGGTGATAATGATTCAGAGCAAGTCTCAGTATCTCTTTTTAAGGTTACATTTAGCTGACATTGTAGTGAATAAATTTAAGTCCAGAAATGTCTGAAGAGAGCGAGCAGTGAGAGAGGTCATCTCAGTAATGGCAGTGAATAAAAATGATTAGGAATTCAAACTCAGAAGCTAGACCATCCTGGACTCAAATGTTCCCTTTGCTTCTTTCTTACTAGACCTAGGTCTTGCCAGCCAATGTCTCTGAGCTCTTGACTTCCTTGTTTTTGCAAAAGACATGAAAATAAAACCTCCTTAAAAAGTTAATTAAGCTGGGCAGTGGTGGAACATGCCTTTAATCCCAGCACTGGGGAGACAGAGCCAGGCGGATCTCTGTGAGTTTGAGGCCAGCCTGGTCTACAGAGTGAAATCCAGGACAGGCACCAAAACTACACAGAAAAACCCTATCTCGGGAAGAAAAAAAAAAAAGTTGATTCAACTATTAAATGCAGAAATACTTACAGAGCACTAAGCTCAGGGTCCAGAATAATATAAGCAGTTGGTGGTTTTTAACAATTACTAAAATATCTTAGAATACAAAGAAAAAGAGCTATTCTTGGATACCCACAGACACAGACCGATTGGACCAACATCCTGGATCACCCCACCTTCCCAGCAATTGGCTTCTGGCAGGAAGCACAGTGGCCCTTAGGAACGGTGGCAATCCCAAGATCTTGCAGTTCCTGTTCCAAACCCCCAAGCATTGAGTCCAATGATGCCTTGTGGTCCTGCTTGTCTGGTAAGTGTTTCTTGCTGGCATCTGCTGTCACTGAAACCTTGGACAAAAAAAGAACCATAAATAGGAATCAGCCTGTGTGCACCTTTATTCTTTTTGACATTTGCCATACAACTTATCCCTTTACCTCTGATGGCTGATCTTGTTGTCTTCCCCTAACCTTCCTTCAAGGAACTGGAGACACCAATAAAAACACTTTTATTTCCACTTCATTTTAAAATCTTTGAGCAAAATGAAATCTGATCATTTGTCATTTATTAGTAAACCTTCTGTTTGCCAAAAAAGAAAAAAATCAAGTGGATGAAGATTATACTCTTTGTAGCTCTTACAGTGAGCCTAGGTGAAAATTAGTCATCTCTCCTTTCCATTCATTTATTAATTGCCAAGCACCTAATTTGTCACAGTCAGTATTCCAGGAACTTGTTATGAGGCAGAATATAAGCATACCAAGTTTCTAGCCTCTTAGAATTTTCATTCTGTGACTGGCAGGTAATCAACATACGCTGCATGTCAGATAAGGAAAAGTTGTACGTTATATAAGAGATAGTTGTGATGGAGGATGGTATGGTGAATATGAACTGATTTAGGAGAAAGTGCCTCTGAGGAAGTGATACTTGAGTATATGTACATAAAGACCCAGATATACTGATATTAGTGAGATGATCATTCCTAAGAGAAAGAAGGCCCAAGGGATGAAACCATTTGGCACACTGGAAAAAAAGTTACAAGATCAGCAGGGTCAGAACAAAAGTACCAAGACTGGACATACAGAAGTGTGGGGAGAAAAGCAAAAGGTCACCTAGGTCCTTTATGGCAAAAGTTGGATTTGTATCCTAAAGTGATAAGTGAGACTGAAGGGAGGCAAATCTGAGAATGATGGAGCAGATGTACAATACTTTGTAATGATTTGTGTAATGTTTAAAGCCAGTGTTAGGAGAAAAGGTAGTGTGGTTGCATTTATTCAAAGACAGATCCAAAGTTATTATAAATTACTCAAGTCAGTTTTACACACACACACACACACACACACAAAGCCTACTTTTTTTTCCTTCATCATTTCATGTCCTTTTCTTCATGGGCAGTTGCTACCATCTACCTACATAATGTTTATCTCATCATACAGATATAGTGGCTCTCCACTGCCTACCCCTTAATTTTTTTATCACCAAATGAATATTCACAGTTTCACATCCACTATCCTCACTTTGTCTTCCCAATCTCATTTTCTATTTCACAATTAAAAAGCCTTCTTGTTGAAGCAGGCTGGCTCCCAACGTTCTCCTGAATGGTTCTGCTAATATTTGCCTTCAGGCCTCTGGTTATCCAGTCTTCACTGCCTATAATAACCTCACACTATTTTACTATTCATTATGCTCATTTCCCTTCAAAAAATTGATCCTCAAACAGATTTCTTTCCTCCCCTCTATATAATGGAAGTTAGTATTCGAGAGGTATCTATCCAAAGGATTAACATCCAGAGGTACCAAAGTTGTTATTAATTTTATATTTGAAAAATAACTAAGTAAAAAAATAACAATATATTCTCTACATCTACATCTCTTTGCTTGCATATTCCAAAACACTTCTGGACATATATGTCAAATGCAGTATATTCTGATGACCTGCAGGGGGCAAAATGGGACAGTCCAAGACAAACGACATGGAAATGATTTACTATAAACATATTTGTACTTTTGATTTTGTGCAATGTATATGTATTGTTTAGTTTTAAAACACACACTTTAAGTTAAAATTTAAATATTCCAAGACATACTTTAACAAGAAAACACAACATAAATTTCCTAATATGACTGTTTTTCTAGCATCATCAAGTATGCAGCACAAGTTAATTCACTCAACTTTAGTGTTGATGTTAGCTCTTTATAGAGTGTTAGTGATCAGAGAACCTTGTCTGCGACATTTCTTCATCTGTCCCTCCAACAACTACGTGTTTACTTACTCACTGTGTGATAGGTACTATGTGGGATATTGGGAATCTCATGCTGATATGGCCCCTGCCCTCCTCTATCATACAAATTTTAACAGTCTGCCTTAAACATTCATGCTGATTTCATGATTATGCATCTTAACTTCCAACCAGATTTTAAAAGGTTGAATTCTCTGTATAAGAAATTCTAAGTCTATGTCCTTGATAAATGCTTAAGACTCCTGATCTGGATTTTGCTCTCTGCCAGGAACCAAGAGTTTGCTATTTTCACTCTACAAAAAAAAAAAAAAAAAAAAAAAGCAAAATTTATCATGGTTTCAGAACTCATCCTTCCTACTTTGGCCTCCCTTGCTCTGTGTCTCAGCTTGCCTACTGGCCTCTTTATCCTGCTCAGGTATGTGTTTTTAATAGACCTTCTACATCGTCATGCCTTTAGTGCAGTCTTTACCATCAAGGCTGTCTCCAACTCTTATCATTATGTGTCCATACCTCTCCTACTCTTCAGTGTCCATCCTAAATCCCATCACAACTTCTCTGATAAAATCTGCTTAACCTGTCGAAATCCGTGGGGTTTGCTCCACTCATTTTGGAAAATCACCATCCTTTTATTCTAAAAACATTGCAGAGTTTTATCACTGGCTGTCCCAAGAACACCCAATCTCCTCCAGATCAAGGCCTATACCATGTTATCTTTCATGTCCAAATGAGTTTCTCCACTGAATTAAATGTAATCTAGGAAAATGAATACTACCTTAGAATTCCCAAGCAGGGATGAAGAACTGACTACTATCATGCTAACTTGGTGCCTCTCTGGAACCCAGAGACTTTATCATCCATACTGCACCCACCTTGGCCTGCATTTCACTCAGGTGGGCCATGAGCTCATCCAGCTGAGCAGCTGCTGAGGTTTTAGGAGGTGGTACTGATTCCTTTGGCTCTTGGACCTCACTGTAGACAGAAGGAAAAAAAGTTATACTAACACATGAAAACTCAAATAAATATTAAGTCACACATAAAGTATTAGAGGATACAGTTTTACCTATTCACCTATTTGATATGAATCTAAAAACCAGAGACAGGGAGTAATTTAAAAACAGCTGCTATTCTAAATAAATAAATAAATAAATAAATAAATAACCTATTTGTTCCCGAGTATATGAAGAAAAGTGCTGGACATGTCTCAATTACTAGAGTCCAAGCAACATTAGAACAGAGCTTTAAAGCCATTGCTTGCATTTTAATAGAAATTTTTTAAATTATTTTTAAAGTCATACACAATAAAAAGTTTCAAAGGTAACCAAGGGACCTGAGTAAGCATTCCTCTAAAAATGACTAACAGCCATCAGGTATACAAAAAGGTGCTCACCCTCATTAATTACCAGAAAAATGCAAACCAATATTACGAAGAAATACCACTTTATACCCATCATAGCATGAGGCAAGGTCTGGCAAAAGTGTAGAGAAATGAAAGCATTGTAAACTGCCAGTGCTCTGCAGGTCGGTGTAGTCACCATGAGAAACACTGTGAAGACTTCTAAAAAAAAATGAAAAGTAGAACTACTATATGACCCACCAGTCCCTCTTCTGTGAAGGAAATGAAACCAACACACTGTAAAGAAGTCTGTGATCCTATGTTCCTTATAGTGTCATTTACATAGCTAAGATATGAAAATAATCAAAGCGTCTGTGGATTGATGAATGAATGAATTGGGAAGTTAAACTGTGATAGATGGCATTGACACTGGAATATAATTCAATCTTAGAGAAGAAAGAGATCTTGATATTTGATTCAACATAGATAAGCCTAAAAAGCATTGTACAAAATGAAATAAAGTAAAAAGTAAAATATTGCATCATTGTACTTACATGTAGAATGTAAAAAGATTAAATATATAGAAATATAAAACAATGGTTCCTAGGAGTGAGAAAGTAGACAAGAAATGAAAACAGGCCAGAGGACCCTATATGTCTAGAGATCTAATGTACAAGTTGGGGTTTATAGGTAACAAAAATGTGCATATTTGAGATTACTACTAAATTTAAAAATTTGTTCATTTGCTTCATTACATCAGCTTAAGCACATTAATAATAACCTCAGAGTCACCAATAACTCATCAGTGTTGCATTAAGAGCGAAAATCAATAAAACACGTCTCACTGGTGTCATTTGACCAAGAGTAAGCCTACATTTGAATTCTCTACTTTGCTCTCCTTGTGTCTTCCATCATTTCTAATGAAGTGCTTTTGCTGTGTATTTCTTGAATGGGACAGAAAGTGTTGCATGAGTAAAGAATGAGAGATACTTTACAAAATCTCTAACAGAGTTTTATAAGGGATAAAGACACTAATTCAAACTGACACCAACTGACCCAAATAATAAACAAACCAATGCTATCAAGCAATATCCATGCTTCATTCAACGTTTATGGTGGATATTCGTTTTATAAGGCTGTTATTGGCCTTTGTTCTGTTTTCAGCAAATGATTATCATAACACACACACTACTCAAGTCAGGAGTACATAATTTAAGATTACAGTTATGAATTGGCATGGTTATCAAAGTTGATTACATGGGAAATTCAAGGTAGGTAAGTTTGGTTGTTACATTGTTCTCTTAAAAGTATGTTAAACAAACAGGCTGAGTATACAGCAGGATAGCAGTCTTAAGTCTTAAGTGACCTTAAGGTGTACTATTAACTCTGGCTGTAAAGTCCAGGAAAAGTTCCGATCTCTTAGAATATAACAGATATTTTTATCATAATGGCATTGCCACACTTGACTAAAGTAAACATTCACTATTTATATGTATCCTATATATTATGTTGCAAACATTGAATATGTACAATAAATCAAAGAGAAGACCTACATAAATGGAGATGTATACTATGTGTCACTTTCCCACATCAAATTCAATAAAATTTCATAAAAATCCCAGAAGAATTATTTGAGCTATCAATAAGATTACATTAAAATGTATGTGCTAGAACACCCATGAAAAAACTTGTAAGGTTTAAAAGGCTGGACATGGTGACACACATCTCTAATCCTTGCAACTGTGAGGCACAGGCAGGCAGATCTGTGTGAGTTCCAATCCAGCCAAAGATACATAGACACTATCTCAAAAATAACAACAACAAAAAAAAAAACAAATTTCAGAACAAACAGTTTGTCCCAATAAAGGTAACATTTCATAAAATAAAAGTAATTGGGAGCAAGCAGTTATCACGCAACACTGCAAATGACAATAATTAAATGTGTGCAACGGTAACAGAACGAACTGATCAAAGGAGTAGACTATAAAACACAGAAGCAGGCCCCTGCACCTGTAAAGTTCCAGTACGTTGCATGAGGCATTTCAAAGAATCAGCAATATATTTAATGAGTCAATGAATCAAAATCTGTGTAGAACAAAATAAACTTATAGCCCTCAACACATCAAACATGAACAAGTGAGTGGAACTGAATATAAAAAAAAATTTTAAACATTAAAATACTAGAAGGAAATGGATGATTTTAAAACTTAGAGCCTATAAGGCATTTTAACCAAGGGAATAAAATTAAAATGATGGCAACTAGAGAGATAGCTCAGAGGTCAAGGGCACACACTATTCTTGCAGAGGACCTGAGTTTGCTTCCCAGAACTCACATGGCAGCTTACAACTCCCTTAACTCCAGTTTCAAGGGCTCAAACACCCTCTTCCGATCTCCATGTACATCAGGAATATAAATGCTACAAATACATAACTGCATCAAAATATCCATATACATAAACAATTAATTTAAAAATAAAGAAAAGGTTTCTTTAAAATCCTCTGGAATAAAACAAAAAAGGAAATATATTAATAAAGTCTATTTTGCAAAAGTATTATAGTTAAATCATATACAAAATGTTTGTAAAACTTCTATAAATTAAAAAAGCAAACCAGTGAAACATGAGCTTAAAATCAGGTTTAAGAATGATAAACATACATGTTTATTATTATAGACATGAACGGAAGTTCCAAAAGGTAATTGTGACTTCAACTAAATCTGCAAGGCTGGTTAATTGACTTGAACTTCAATGACTGTAGAGAAGTTGGAATGTTGCAGGTCCAGAGCCTAATTGAAATTTGTTTAGGGCTATATTTAGGCCCATAAATAGTCATTTCTTGCTCATATAATATCCTGTGACTAACAGATAAAATCTTGTGGAATGCTTTAACTTAACAAAATCTTAGTTTCCACCAATCATTAAGAGTAAGAATACCATCAGATTAGTACTGAGGCCTATAACAGAGGTTTCAACCCACCTCCGTAATGTTTCTGCTAATGTGTTTGAGCATTTCTTGATTAATGACTTTCCTGGTTTTGGTACTATGAAAACTTGATCTAAGTTTTACCGTGTTGTAACATGAACAAATGTGTGCTCACAGGCCATGGTCACTTATATTTGGCTTCAGAGTAAACTATCTCAGATCGCCTTTGAAGTGAGAGTTATGTTTCACATTGACATACAAAAATATGCTTGATCCCATCAATCTTTAAGCAAACAATTTAAGGGAGAAATGAATTTTTACCTATTAATCACAACTTTAAAAACTTGGCAATATGCATTGTTAATCAAGATTATACACATTTATTTATACACACACACACACACACACACACACACACACACACACACGCCATAGGTAATTTACAGATTCCTAAAACCCTCTTCAAGACAGAATCTATCAACATTTCAAATGTAAGTACCCTTTAGTTCAGCAACTTCACTTTTAAATCTACATCCTACAGAAAAACTGAACACAAACATGAAAATATAAACTAGGACTATTTGGGGAGAGGAAATGAAATAGCCAGAGAGGAGACAGGAACACTTGAAAGGGCAATGAGAGAGGAACAAATCAGAACAAAGTATAATGCCAGGTATGATAATGCCATAAGAACACCCACTAACTTTGTATGCTGGGACGGTTCCCCATTTGAATTGGGTCCCCACTTGGTGATGCTGTTGGAAGAGACTTTGGGAGGTTCAGCCTAGCTGAAGAAAGCACAACACTAGGAGAAGGCTTTGAGAGTTTATAGCCCTGCTCTCCCGTTTGCTCTCTCTGCTTTGTGTTTGTGGTGGAGTTGTGACCTCCTCGCTTCCTCCTCTTGCCACCATGCTTGTTGCTAACTGTCATGCCTCACTGCCATGATAGACCTTCATCCCTTCCAGAACCGTAAGCCCAAATGAATTCTTTCTTCCACAAGTTGCCTTGTATTTTATCACAGCAGCAGAAAGGAACAAATACATATGCTAACTTAAAATTAATTCAAAGACAAAAAGAAAAATTAGGGATATACATGTACATATATACATACATAGCAGGAGAGAGGTATAACAAAGGAAGTTCAATACAATACAGGGTTCGTGAGCAAATAAAAAGTAAACTAAATAGTGTTTTAGCCAAATAAATTATGGTTCATCCATTTTACAGAACATCATGTAATTGCTAAAAAATGTACATATAGACTTAGATAAATTGAGAAGTAATTCTACCATATGTTGTTAAATTTAAGAAGCAAGGCCTAGAACAATATGAAAAATCCCCCTCCACAGCTTCCAGGGTTCAAGCTCTAGTCTTGTGCTTGCACAGCAGGCACTTTACCAGCTAAGGTATCTCCCCAGCTCCAAATGTAGTTTTTTATATGGGCCTCCTTATTCATAGAGCCTCCTCACCTTACAGATGGAGAAAATTTGTTCATGTTCAAAAACATGCCCATACTCTTTTCAACTAGAATCAATGCATAGCATATAAATAGAAGGGACCATTGTCAAGAGTCTCTAACATCAGCTGACTCAGCAAAATACTAATCTACACAGGAAATGCAAACTTGAAGAGCTGAGAGTCACAATTAGAAGCCCATTATAGGAAATATTCTTGAAAAGAGAGAAACTTTACATTAGAGACATCTGATCTGTCCCTGGCCTTTTAAACATAGGAAAAATGTTTTGCTATGTCATGAGCTACAAGCTGCTTTGTGATTTGAAGATTTTAATAATACAGATCACAACACAAACATATTTGAAAGAATGTACAGAATGTACACTTCCCAACAAAGGAGCTTCATTGTGCTGAGTTTTCCTTTGTTTAATTGTTATATTTTGTGAACTGTTCCTCCCTACTATTAGAACTGCTACTTTTGCTCATGAAATAGATGTACTTAGAAACTACTGCCATATTGCTATTGATGCACAGTGGTTAGAAATATCCCAGTGCTGCAGTCAGAGTTGCTACAAAGCACACTTTCAAGGATTACTGGGAGCAATGTGCAGCTCATTTATGTAAACAAGAGTATATGATGGAAACCAATGTGGGAATCTAGTTTCTGAGTTTAGCATTCTGTGTTGGCATGCTACTGTTCATGCCACCTTGGAAATTTATAAAAGTCCCACATAGTTATGGATGGGTTTTATATCATCCTCCCACACACATATGCACTGTAGGTATGACTTGGTAATGGATAGTATATCAGTCAAAGTATTCCAGTCCAGAAAATATAAGCAGGTTTGAGTAAACAAATGGAATTAATGTAGAAAATCAATTATACAGATGGGGAGAGAGCTAATAAGCAAAACAGAAGACATATGGGGATTACCAAAAACCTACAGCAGCAGCAAGTCTTCACCACCCCTAAGCTAAAAGGACAAAATGCATGACATCATCCTCATCAGAGCCCAGGGTCTCTGTTCAGTGCACTAGCTTACAGAGATGCAGCTGCTGATAGAAACATTGCAAAGTCAAGGGCCAGGACCAGGGCAAGTGCCCTGCACTTTCCTACTCTGCAACTGCTAGTATCTCCAGCACTTCTTATTGGTCAGAGCCCATGACAGCCAACTGTCCTGGAGCCTGAAAAATCCAACCACCAGGGTTAGATCCCTAAAGCATGAAAAGTTAGGAGTTGGGGCTCAAGAGGGTTCCCAAGATAGCCTGCTTTTTGGATATGAGATTTATTAAAGGAAGTATTAATGCCATAGATAGACAGACAGAAGGCAGCGTGGTGGGGGCTCTGAGGGAAGTTCAGGTCCAAATGGCAGAGTGAGAGTCCCTTATACACTTCAGGGAAAGGGGGAGATTCTATACCACCTAACTGATGACAGTCCATGATTTATGCTTGCAGTCAGGCTATCTCTGATATCTGGCTGGTGTGTGTATGTGCTGAGGGGTGGTCTGTTAATGTGGACCTATATATATATATATAGAATCAGCTATAAGCCTGGGGAGAGTAAGAATCTAGAAAAACAAGTAAATGAAAGACCTTTACAAAAATGGCCTGGCCCTAACTAACAGAGCACAGGACAAAGAAAGGAAAGGAAGCCAGAGACCCAATGCTGTAGGGGGGGAGCTGTCCATAAGATAGTGTCGCGATCAAATAATTGATCACAATGCCAGACATACCAGAAAATGGCTGGTGCTTGGACTGGTTTTCATACTACAATTTGAGTATTCACATGTATTTCTATTGACATCTTAAGAAAACACACATTTGCTGAGGGCCTCTTGAATACAGGCACTGTTTTCTTTTTGTTTGTTTTTTTAACTACAACAGGAGGGTGAAGACAATGAAGAAGTATTCACCCACCACTTCCTGGAGCTGGAATAAATAGGTAATGTGTATTAATAAACTAGCTTCACTCCCACCTCAGTAGAAAGTGACCTCACCTGGGAAGTTTTTAAATGACTTCATGTACCGCAAGTCCTTTCCCTGTTTTAGCCTCCCATGTGTGCTCTATGTACCGTGATTCTGAGACCAGATAGAGCAGTGGAGCACTCCATGCCAAGCACGAATCCTTAAAAAAGAGCCTAATTTTTTTTTTTTTTTTTTTTTACTGAAAGCTATGATTAAAGAGAAAGACATGAAAGAGGTGGCCTTTCTGTTTCTTGTCTGTTTTAGACTACTGGTTCTGCTTTGACCAGGAGAAATGATTTAGCAAGTGAATCTATTCCATGTGTAACTTTTACTAAAGGGATATTCTTCCACCACATAAACTCCGAGCAGACCTAGAAAGTACAAGTATGCACTCATTCGTCTGTGATGGACCCTTGTTGTCTTCTTGTAGCCCTGATCCTGGCATTGACACTGCTGGACCCTTGCTTAAGTTTATTCAGGTGTGTTTTCTCTTCTGAGCACTGTTGCATGATACCTGGAACTGAAATGCCAAAACATCTGTGCTAACTCTGGAACTTTTTGTCCTTTTCAGGTGGTAAGGAAAATACATAAACCCACTGCCCCAAGCCTGGACAGCTGTCTGGAGGAAAGATACCTTGGGAGGTTGCCAAGTCAGCATAGAAGGGTTCTGCCTGTGTTCAAAGGCTCTGGGAAGAGATATGGAGGAAGTCCAATAATAATTTTTACAAACCAAATTACTGCAATTATTAACAACAATTACCTAATAACTTTTAATTTTGAAATTATTTATCAGAAACCAAAGCATACCTGTAGACATTGGGCTCCTGGATATTGGTCGTATACACGAGCTGCACCTAAGACATAAGTGACAGAAAAGAGCAAAGAATGACATCTGTATCGGAACACTGGTGCTTATCAACATAGAGAGTGAGAGAAGTTTGTAGCTTCCAAAGGGGATAACTAGAATAGCATGATGGTGCACACTTGTAATCCAAGCTACTTGGGAGGCTGAGGAAAAAGAAGCATGAGTATCAGATTAGTCTGGGCACAACGTTAAGAACTTGTCTCAAAGCAAATAATAATAACAATAACAATAATAATAATAAATATAACAATAATAAGCAACAAAAGCAATAAGTAGTGTATTGCTTAAATGTTTCCAAAGGCAGAGTTACCTTCCATCATGCAGAAAAAAAAAAAATTCTAAACATAGAAGTTGGTACCTGAACAAGTACTACCCTCCTTGCCTTAAAAACAAAGATATAAAGATATATATCATCCTCAGATAGGAAGCATAAAACAATATGGTGGCTCAGGGGAAGGCCCTTTAAGCACAATGGTGCCTAGGGAAGGCTAGAACACAAACTTGCCTTATGAAAAGTAATAATGTGTCAACCAAAGATGTGGCTGGACAGCAATTCATCTATTTATTCACTGAACAGATACTTACTGAGTAACCAATACATTCCTGGGCTTAGGATGTTATATCCAAACCGCAAAATAAAGCAACAACACTAAAGCCAAATATTCTGGTGAATGAAGATGTAGCCTCAGTTGGAGGAGTGTTTGCCTAGCATCCATGAGGCTCTGGGTTCTAATCCTAGCACTGTATAAACCTGGCATGGTGGTGTAATCCTGTTACGCCAACAGTTGGGAGCTGGAGGCAGGATCAAGAATTCAAACTTATCCTTCCCTACACAGTGAGCTCAAAGTCAGTCCAGCTTACTTGAGACCCAGCTTAAGAAAAAAAAAAACTGAGTACTTCAGAGCTTATATTTTATTAGCAAGAAGTAGATATAAAAGTTAATCAAGGAGTAGAAATTAAGAAATGTGGCAATAGAAACAGTTATAAATGCATTGATGGGGAAAAACTCACTTGAGTAGATGACACTTGAGCAATGACTTACATGAAGTAAGGAAAGCAATCAGGTATCAGGGTAATGTTGATCATGTGCAAGGAATGAATGGGAATGACTGTTGAGCAACAAGGAGGCCTATGTGGCCTGTGCAGGGAAGCAGGCAGAGGGGCTAGATCTGCAAGTAGTAAACATACATTTATTCAGCTCAAATGGAGATGCTTACAAGGGAAAGAGGGGTCTTTAGAAATAATACATTTAAATTTTTAGAGGGGGGACAGAGAAGAGAGAAAGACACACACAGAGAGAGAGAGAGAGAGAGAGAGAGAGAGAGAGAGAGAGAGAGAGAGAGAGAGGGAGAGAAAGAGAGAGAGAGAGAGAGAGAGAGAGAGAGAGAGAGAGTAATCTAGTCCAGAACTCAAGCTCCTGCCTCATCTTCATCAGTATTGATATTACAAATATATGTATCACAGTTCCCTAATAAAGTACATATTCCAGCCAAACAACTTCATTGTATTGTATTGGTAGACCTATAAAATAATTCTAATGAAGGTAAGGATGTGGTGGTTCATGCCTTCATGCCTTTAACCACAGCACTTGAAAAACTGAGGCAAGATGGCAAGCTTGTGGACAGCCTGAGTTACATGGTAACTGTCTCAAAATAATCACAATAGAAATAACAATAATTTTGCTCAAAACCTCTTTTTCTTATTTTTTTTTTTGAGACAGAGCCTCATGTAGGCCAGGCCAGCATCAGACTTTCTATGTAGTTGAAGCTAGCCTTGAAGTTCTCGTTCTCCTCGATGTGCCAGGATAACAAATGCAAGCCACCATACCTGAAGAAATTTATTTTCTACACAGATTTCTCCAGAATAATTAAAAACAACACATAGCTATACACATGATGGGAAACTTCTTTAGTGTTCTTTTTATTACTTACACATTTAAAACAGCATAAGAAAACAACTCTCAACATATAGTCACATACTTTAATTGGTAATGTGGTTATTATTTGCTCTAACATTTTGATTTAGGAATTTTCCTTTGAAATGCTGACTTTTTTAAATATATAGTGCTGTCATTTTTTGAATTTGTAATGTTCTCCAAAGCTACATTTTGTGGTTATTAGATTTGAGATTGCTGTTATCTTTAACTTGGGCTTTTCTCTAGGGCATAGTGCTTTTAGTAGAGATGTGATCTTAATGCTGATGAACCTGAACGTTCAGGATACATTCTGCTCTGTGGAACATATTCTCAATTCTTTTTCTCTACTAAAACGTATAAATACATTCAGGAAAATATCTTCTTTTAATTAATTTTCTTAGTGCACAAAATAATGGACTTCATTGGGGATTTTCATACACGTATATTAATGCACTGTGCTTGTATTTACCTCCCACCACCTCCTTGTGTCCCCTTCACTCATGGTTAATTCCACTCCACAAGTCTCTCTTTTGTCTTTATATCATACATAGAATACATCAAAGATATATATGACATAAAATGCAGTATTTGTTTTCTTTCCTTCCCACTACCTCTCTTTATTCTTACCCACTCCCAGGCTTTCTCTCTTCTCCTTTGTCCAAGACAATATTCCCATGTGTCTTCTCTTAGCCACCTCCATTCACAGCATCTTTCTCCATTAATATTCTAATAAGCCCAAATTTTGAAGATGTCTCTATTTGTTATTCTTTTTGACATATTTTTGTAAGGGATGAGTAAGAGCAAACTCATTGACTTCTATAATTTTATTACATTTTGGTTTATAAATTTATCCAATAAAATAAAGTCAAAAATCCATCAAAGTCAAGAAATTTTAGAAGCACGTTTTAAATTAAGCAATTAAGCTACATGAGCTCTCATCTCTTGTTTTTTTCTGGGAAAAAAATTGGAGCTGCTTCCTTTTGTTAAACTCAATTGTATATGATTGCAGATTGTTAAGAAGCACTTTTTCATTCAATATTGATTGAATAATTTGATTACAGCTCTCTAGCTGATTTTGCACACAGTGCAATCTAAGCTTTATGAAATGAGGATAGGACATTTCCAAAACCCAGAGAACAAGAGCCAACACATAAAGAAAATTAACATGCCATGCTTAGATGTTGCTTTGTTTTTCATGTCACTCCTAGAAAAAAAATGACTAGCATGACATTTGCCAGTCTTGAAAATTTTAGTTTCTTTTTTTTTGTTTTTGTTTTTGTTTGTTTGTTTGTTTTTTCGAGACAGGGTTTCTCTGTGTAGCTTTGCGCCTTTCCTGGAACTCACTTGGTAGCCCAGGCTGGCCTCGAACTCACAGAGATCTGCCTGGCTCTGCCTCCCGAGTGCTGGGATTAAAGGCGTGCGCCACCACCGCCCGGCGAAAATTTTAGTTTTGATGGGCAGAATGTTGCTGTTTGTTTTGATGAAGTCAAGAATTCTGTGTACTTCACAATCAACTCCAAATTCATTTCTGCTCTGTTAGATTTAAGTTGGTAAGAACATATTATTACCATGATGCTATCTGTGTTCCACTAACAGTCTGTTTTCTTATTCTTACCAGAAGATTTTGCTATCTTCAATACTTTTTCAACTCACTGTACTGACTAATGTTGTTTGTTTTCTCTTTAACAGGAAAATTAACTTCCAGGAGTTTTATTTTGATGCTATATATTGGATGAAAAATAAAGAGGTTGGAATACTCTAATTTTCTGACACCTCTGATGACAGTGATTTAAGACTGACATTATTTGATGGTTTTCAAAGCTACTCCTTCCACTTTACTTATATGCAGATGAAAATGTGAAATTGAAAATCAGCAAAAAAAATGTTTACAAGGGTGGTTTGCTAGAAGTGGAAATGTGTATTTCACAGTGATCTGCAAATATATTTCCTACAGCTATGTATGAACTGTCATCTTCAGGAACATGCTTCTTAGATTAGTATTAAATCTAAAGTACATGCTAATTCTTCACCTCTTTGATGTCTCCTGATTCTTAAAGGGACAGTAATATCTCTCCTCATTCCCTCTGGTGACTGGAAAACATTAAAAGATGTTTTGTGCAAATTACCAGTCCTCATAACTGCCTTGAAAAAATCAAACCTGAAGATTTTGTTTCTGTTTTGCTTTAAGCCAACTGACAAAAGATTAATATTAAGATTTCTTTAGTGCTAACAAAATAAAACAATTAGAAATTTACAAATACAAATACAAAATGCTTTAATAACATTCATAATATAGTATTTGTGATGACAAGAATACTAAATTCTATTTCCTGAACATCATTTATGTCATTAATCATGATTTCCTTATTACTTACTGATCCCAGATGTTCCATGTATGCATCACATGGACCATAGCAGGGTGTGACTGGCAGCATACCAAGTGGCCAGCAGATTTCTTCTGCTCCCACCTAAGACCAGAGGAGTTAGCTCACATTTCCACTCTTAGACTTCTTAGTCATCTCCCTCAATACTGTCATGAAAGGGTGATATTACTGGGATTTTGTCTGAACAAGATCAGGAAGAGTCATTATTAGTCACCTTTTGGAGTTACTCATAATCATATTAATATATTAATTCAAATACTAATAATAAAACTTCAAAAACAAATTGAAAATATTACATGAAAGGAAATCAATGAGATGTCAGGAAAATAAGCAAAAGCTCAGGTCTCTTGCAGGTAAGCAAGGATGTGGTCATCCACAAAGCTCAGTGCAACATTGTGGCTTCTACTGCAGATGAGATGGGAAACACCACCAGAGTGAGGGTAGAAGAATGTCATGGTCTGTCTTATGTCAAGGCTCTATGAGGCTGCTATGTAATAAATAAAGTACAGATATCTATGCAGGAGAACATTAGGATGCTATGGCTGTAGTTTAAGAATTTCAACAACTACTCTCTAGTAGAGAGTCAGATAAGCAATCTGAGAAGTTAGAAACTACCTATTCCTGCATTCAAATTCAAAGTCTGGAATACTAATTCCTTATGAGTACCCAAGAATGAATCAGAACATCACAGTTCACAAATACCAGATATGAAGAACATCCACCCAGTGTCTCTTGTACTAACTGCATCCTCATTAAGCAAGCATTAATTATAATAAAGGTTTATGCATACTGATCCAAAAGAAGAAAATACACATGTCAGCAAATATATACTTGATAGCTTTAACACTTAACCATAAATTAACACATCAGATTTCTGGGCTTTAAAATAGTCACCTCTGGTGGATTTAGTTTCTTCATGGTGGCTGCTAAGAGCTTTACAATCTCTAGCTAGATGAAAACAATTTCTGAATTTATTCAGCAGTAAGACCAATGAAGTAACAGCTGTACAGTCACCCCCAAAAGACTTGTCTAAACTACCAGGTGATCCCTGATTTTAGTGGGTATGACTCTAGTCACACTGTAACATGCCACCTCTGGTAGTCTGGGAGCAACATAACAGTAGCCAGCATGGATGAGGTATAGGCGGGACAAGGAGGAGAATAAAGCTGGGAAGTGAAAGGCTGAGTGGGAGAGACACTGCCAGCCGCCATGATGAGAAACAGTATGTGAAGATGCCGGTAAGCCACGAGCCATGTGGCAAGGTATAGAAATGGATTAATTTAAGCTGTAAGAACAGTTAGCAAGAAGCCTGCCATGGCCATACAGTTTGTAACCAATATAAGTCTCTGTGTTTACTTGGTCGGGTCTGAGTGGCTGTGGGACTGGCAAGTGAAAGAGATTTGTCCTGACTGTAGGCCAGGCAGGAAAACTCTAGCTACAATGAGGCAATAGCCTTCACTAGAAGAAAATCATTTCAAAGGCATACTCTACAGTAATTTTCTCAATTTTCTCCTCTTTCCAAAAGCAACTATTTTTAAATTAATATTGAAATGATACTTTTTTCTGTTCTCAATATATGCTTCTCCTTTAATATAATTTTATATGGGATACAATTAATTTTCAGAAGTGCAGTCAAATATTGATTGTCTACAATACTACAATAGATGAAATGTTACCTTCAAGGGACTTGTGTGACTCTGAGATGACAAGGTCTTTGGAGTTTGGGGAAGTAGGCTCCCCTGTTTGGATTGCTGATCGAGGTGACAAGAAATTGGGTTTGAATATTCATCACTGTCCTGGAGGGTGGAGCGTTCCAATTCCTCCAATAAGGCATCTACATCACAGGAAACAAAGGGGGAATAATGTAGAATTTGTGAGTCTCCAGAATTATTTTCTTCTTAAATATTCTCTTCTTGTTTGGGATGACAACAATTTGCAAATACCTCCCTCCCTCAACACCTCACTTCAGGAGTGTGACATGTCCTAGGAGATGTCTGAGGAAATTACATTATGGTCCATTTGATATTTCCTATGTTTGCATTCAATTTCATATGCTCTCTACAATTTAGTGTTTTACAATTTGGCTTCTAGGTATTGGTTTTTAACCAGATCATACACACAAACACACAAAAAAAAAATTATTTATTTCATATTAGAAAAAAAATAAGGTTTTTCAAAATATACCAAGAGGCAAACATTCTTTTTTTATTCTCTCATACTATATATCTCAACCACAGTGGGGAGGCAAAACATTAATCTTGATTTTTTTTTTAGTCTAAGATCTCAAGGATTAGCCCAAGAATATAACAACAACAACAACAAAACTTATGTATTAGTGGTTTTTTGTTGGTAGTGTTTGTTTGGATGTGGAAAGGAAAAAGGTTGGTTTAAAAAAAAAGAAAGAAAGAAAGAAAGAAACTAAAATATTGCCCAATCAAGTAAGAGGTAGCAATCCAAATAATCGTGACTTCTTTTGCAGTTTTCTTGGGAAAACTCCAATAGGCTTCACAAGCATTTTGCTAGTACTTTCCTGTTGTAATGTCATTAATCACAATGATTAATGAAAATTAGCCCATGCCCATCACAGTGTATGAAGATGTTATCCTAGCACTTTGAGGTAGAGGACATTACTGTCCTCGTTTCATACACAGGAGAGAGAGAGTGTAGCTCTCACAGGCTCTTGAGCACAGAATCTGAACTCCAAGGAGAGCTCTCTGAGCCCCACCTCCAATGTAAGCATTGCAAACTTGTAAGTTAGAGTTGCCATCATGACCAGATTGTCTGAGTCATCTGAAGCACAGCATGTTCTCTGAAGGTCTTTCTTCATCTACGTGATGAAGCAATTGGATTGAACAATTATTTTTCAAATTGCAAGTCAAGATACTTTAGTGTCTTTTTTTGAACTTCAGTGGATTTTTTAAATATGTTAGTTTTTATAAGCTTACAAAGCATTATTAGATTGTGTGATTTCTAAGGACCTGCCTACCTCTGAAATTCTCAAATAAAGAAAATGAACTTAACATGCTATTAAAAAACAAACATGTATTTCATATTTGAGAGAATGAGGGTTTTGATCTGTCTAGTCTTTAAGAGAGATTGCCATAGAGCAACTTGGCCTGATTTACCAACCAGACCAGGAGGGCCTAAAACTCATGATCTTCCTGCTTCCACTTCCGGAGTGCTGGGATTACATGGGTGTGCCAGCAGCAGCAGCTCAAAAACTGTCTTACCCCCGCTGTCTTCCCTCTTCACAATGCTGAACTCAGGAACTTACATATACTACATAAAAGTATGTTAATGTGCCACCAAACCACATCCCCAGATTAAGGATGTGTATTTCTCAATATTATAAGGAAGATCTATCTAATCGTTTTGTTTTCACAAAAGAAATCTTCTGTAGAACTTTCTCAATCATCCATATCACAAAATTTTGACCTTCATACACCATTTCAGAAATAACCAAACTGGACTAATCTCTTTAGGCCAGACTGTCCTTCAATAAATAAACTGACAAGAAAAAAAAAGACAGAAGGGGCACATATATAATTAAAAGAGTCCTAAGAGACATATAGCTAATTTCAATTTAGATCAGAATTATAATTTTAAAAAAATGAAGCAATCAAGAATACTGAGAGTATTTGTGTGAGACTTTGCTGAACTTGTGATCAAAAACTTAAAGGCAAGTACAAAAAAAATCCTCTTTGGCAATTCTGAATTCAGTGTTCAGCATGAGTTTTATTTGCATAAGAAGACAGTTGATAACAAAAATTAAATTTTTAAATTTTTAAAAAGAATATTTAATGCTGTATAGTCAATAATATTAAATATAGTATTTTAGGAATTTGAAAATATTGACATTAAAGTGACTTCAGTTAATTTTAGGTATGATAATGTTATTTCATTATTAGCTATTGTGTGTGTGACACTGTTAATATGGTTGTTTTTGTAAATTACACATATTTGTGTAATAGATTAAGGCTGAAATATTTATAGATAAATTTCATATCTGAAATTTTTTGAAAACAATATGAAATAAGATTGTCAAGAGCTGATGATTGTTGACACTGATCAAAAGGCTTAGATTTTGTTAAAATGTTTTCTCTACTTCTGTGTATTTTTTTAACTCTCTACAATGAAATGGGTTTTCTTTGGAGTAAAGAAAACAGAACAATAAAGCAAAAGTTTTATCTCAGAATTTTATTGGCCAGACTCAACTCTGAATTTCAGAATTCCAACATTTTATTCTACATCTATTAAATAGAGTCATTCTCTTTTCTATTTTCTAAGCTTTGATCCAATCAGAAGTCAGAGGCCTTCCTGGATCACTAGAATCCGTTTATATTAAAGATTATGAGATAGGAGTATCATTCAGCAAAGGTATGCAGTAATCCTCAGAAGCATCAGCTCACCAAATCTATTAAACTCTGCTTTCTGCTCCTGAGTTAACAGGACTTTCACTTCCTGTTTCCAATGAGTGCACATTTCACCAGTACCCTGTGGCTACTCTTTTTGCTTCATGCAGATTCTATAATTTAAATTAGATGACTACTTTTGGTGTGACAAATATAAGATTACTGGGGTGAGTGAAACTTGACTGAAGACTGCAGTTCTTCCTAGTCCTTGATCTGTGGAAACTGAGTATCAACCTTCACCCCCAAGTCAAGTTGCTTGTGGGTCTCTACAGGTTATAATGATCTCATGCCTAAATTGCAAAGATTTAGGTGAAACCTTCTAGGTGAATGCATGCTACTAACATCCAAAGCAGCACAGCAGAGAGGGAGGATGTGCCCACCTGAGCCAACCTGTCCTTGATACAATTTCTACAGAAGTAGAAAGAAAACTCCACCCCAAGTTGGCTCATTGCTGTTTAAGGCAAGGTCTTACTCTAACCCAAGCAAACCTGCAACTAGCACAGCCCAGGCTGGCCTCAAACTCTGGGCAGTTGTCCAACCTAGCCTCCCTAGTGCTGGGATGACAGTAGTTAAACTATTGTTCCTGGCAGATACTCCCTGCCTTTTGTTTCATTTTGTTTTTTGAGACAGTGTCTCACTACATAGCCCTAGCAGGCCCAGAACGTACTATGTAGACCGTCTGGCTCAAATTCACAGAGATCTAACTGCTTCTGCCTCCATGTCTGTCTTTTTTGAGATAGACTCTTATAGGCTTTTATGTAGTCTAGGTTGGCCTCAAATTTTCTAATAGCCCAAAATAACCTTAAGTTTCGGAACCTCCTGTTTCCACCTCTAGAGTACTGGGATTTCAGACAGGCAACACCACCCTCCATGCAATGGTGACAATTTGAAGAGACTGTGAAATGCAAGCATCAGCAGTCCACTGCCCTGAAGTTCCCTGGATAATCTACACCATTAGCTTTCAAAGGTGCATACTTTGTACATCTCTGAGCAAGATTTCCCTGACAAGTATCCTACTCAGAAAATAGAAAAGCATACATTTTTTAAAAAACATTATTACTCCATTAGCCACCAGAACAAACATACTTCTAACATAGGAGAACAACTTGTAACATTGTCATTTAATTGCTCTTAGTGTCAGAAGCTCCTGAGAGTGAACAAGAAGTTTTGCTTTTCTTTATTTAAAGAAAAAAAAAACGTACTACCTATTTCATAGGGCTGCTGCAAACATTAAACTGATTAACACATTTTAAGGTTTCCCTGTATTAGTTGTCTTTTAACTTTTTGAACTAAATTTGAATAAAAGTTTAATATCCATAAAATAAAGCAAAATAAGATCCTCTCAGAAAAAAAAAATGGGTAAAACTCCATGGAGAAAAGGAAATTCCCTCAATACCCACACAGGATATGCATGCATCAAATTCTCAAAGAATAAATAACTAATATTATATAGAAAAATAATCTGAGCCGGGCGGTGGTGGCGCACGCCTTTAATCCCAGCACTCGGGAGGCAGAGCCAGGCGGATCTCTGTGAGTTCGAGGCCAGCCTGGGCTACCAAGTGAGTCCCAGGAAAGGCGCAAAGCTGCACAGAGAAACCCTGTCTCGAAAAACCAAAAAAAAAAAAAATAAATAATAATAATAATAATAATAATAATAATAATAATCTGTATTCTACACCAAAGTTCAACACACAGCTTTTACCACAGTCTCCAAATACATTTTCTTGCCAAAATAATTCAGCATTTATTAAACACCCCCTTTCTCCATAATTCATTTTGCTCCCCTTCTTTCTTCCTGTTTCTTCAGCCCTCAAAACACAACCCCAAGAATTCTTTTTAAAGACAATGTACAAGCTATGCATTTTGTTATTGCTGGCAGTTTTTGCATAGCTACAAACACACAGACAATGTGGAATTAATCCAGCTTGAAAACAGGGTGAAAGTTAGCAACTTGATGTTAAAGATGCTATACGTAAACAAACAAATAAGTAAAAGCTGCCAAGGTGTGTGTGAAATGAGTCCCAAGGAGGCAGACTTCACAGCTCCCGAGCTTTGAAATCTGTGGTTTCTCTGGGCAGAGTGGCTGGTGACATGTCTACTGTTGCTCTCCTGACCTCAGCGTGGAAGGAAGGACTGGATTTCTGGCCAAGGAATCTGCTCCTTCAAGATTTCTCTAAAGATAAACAAGAACCACTAGAGCGATGCTACCTCTGTAGTTTATTAGTATCCTACCGGCCTCTGCAACCTCTACAGACCCTTTACTCTGCACTGTGATTTCATTGTCTCCCCACACTCTCCCTATTTTCCTTTTTTTCCTTTTCCCTTTCCTGTCTTCCTTCCTTGCCTTCATTTTATTTCCTCTCCTTTTTCCAACCTTGGGTTTTTTTTTTTCTTCCAAAATCATATTACCACAATCACCTAGCTGTGGAGCCACCCTATGATCTCCAGTAGCTGCCAAGGGGGAAAGCACATTCAATTACATTTTCTTCTAAAAGTGCTTCTCTGGGTGTCTGTTCCGTGATTAGCTCTCAACTATCTGCCTACTGTGCCTCTGCAAACAGACCCTATAGTTCCCCCAACAATCATAGTTCCTCCTGCCTCACTCTTGTTTGAACTGAGGACAAAAGCGAAAACAGAATCTCTCAGCACTATCCTCAGTTTGGCTAGAAGACACCTCATCACACATGGGGATGGATGGTAACCAAGTCCACACTTCCTCAGAGCGTCTACAAAAGCCCCTCACTCACCCAGCTCTTCCATGGTCTTACACCCACGATGCTCTAGTCCTGAAGATTGTGAAGAACTGTTTTGGCATGTGGTGAAGAAGGGGACCACAACGGAACTGAATGAGACAGTGCAAAGCAGCCTCTATGACCTTTTTCAGTTCCTGTATTTGCTTAGCACTTCCTCACTTTTGATTTGTTGAATTTTTTATTTTCTTTTCTAGTAGCTCAGTTTTGTTTTAAATAGTGCTGACAGAGAATGGCAGACGTGCAAGATCGAGATTTTGATGCTACATTGGGCAGGGTGGTTATAAAGACTGAACGTTGATTTTCTCCAAAATTTAAACACCCACCACATACAAGGGTTTAATTTTTCCAAGTTTAAGTATCCCGCTGCCCACTTCTGGCTTCCTTTTTTTTTCCACTGTAAAATTAGAGGACCATGGAAGCATAGGCTCCTTCCTTAAAATTTTTGATTAAACAGCACTAATTTCATTTCACTATCTCTATTTTCTTACTCAGCAGTCATGCTGACCCGATTTCCCTGACAAACTGTAATTTAAAAAAAAAAGTTTTTAAAATTACATTTGTGTGTGTGTGTGTGTGTGTGTGTGTGTGTGTGTGTGGACACTCGTGAGTTGTGGGAGTCAAGTCTCTCCTTCTACCACCTGGGGCCCATAGATGATGCTCATCAGACTTGTCAGCAAAGTGCCTTTATCTGCTGAGCAATCTACCGACCCAGATTATAAATTCTTTAAAGTTGAATAGAAGTAGGTTCACTTTTGAATTCTCTAGTACTGGTTTATACAGTTATCCAAAATGCAAACATCTACAGGCTAAGGAAGAGTCAATCCAGCAAATTTAAGATACTAGGTACTAAAATCTGAATTACTCACAATCCCGACTCAGTTCACATTGCCTTGTAACAATTTCTTCAAACAATAAGCAAGGTCAATTTTTTATCTTATCACTGAGCCTTAGTTCATCTCAAAAGGAAGAAAGCATTTATAACAGACCCACCTTGAGAAGTCAGTATGTTAGAACTGTAATTATGGCCCTGTGAAGTGGGTTTTGTCCCGGTGTTTACCAGTAGAGAAACAGGCCCAAGGAATAGTAACTGGCTAAAAGAACAGAATAAAGAGATAGCCTTACTAACTTACTATATAATCCAGTTTTACTTCAGTATGTTATCTTTTTCCTATAGTACAGTGATTGTTTCTTAAAAGGAATAAGTCATTCATTTTACTAAGATCTCTTTTTAAGGGGCTCGCTTTTGTATTACTTTAAGCAGCCATTGGATGTCAGTGCTGTTCCAAACGTGCTCATTGTAAATACAACTTGAAAATTCGTTCCTAGGGACACTGTCGGTTTTTACAACTGAAAACACTAGTCCTTTGAAAGAACCAAAGATTCAATACAGATTAAAAATCATTTGCCTTATCTGTGGGGCAAGTGAGCCAAATGCTGGAAAGAAAAATAAATTTCACTGCATGTTTACAGTAAAATTCAGAATTAGATCCCCAAACCTTGTATCTCCATCCTCTTGTGTAGACCTTAACTGGAGATGTTTCCATCTTCAAGGGATAAAGAATCTCCTTGCAAGTTGTTCCCTGATTACAATGTATAAAAAGGAAACTAAGGACTGCAAACAATGTATAATAGGGAAAGAAAGAAAGAAATACCTACAATGTACAAGAGGGAAAGGAACACAAGAGGCCGCAGAATCACCAGCTGTGGCTTAAACAAATGGAAACCCCCCACCCCCCTTTACCCATCAGGAAACTACTTAGTTGCATACGCTTAGTCAAAAGCTGCTATTCTGACTGTGCTTCCTGTGCTGCAGAAACATCTACAGACCGCAAAGGCATGCAGCACTGGGGCGGAGAGCATGAGCGACCGCTAGCTTCCCCACATAAATCACTGGGAGTCACGCTAACCCTCTCTCCAGCTCCAGCTCAAGGACCACAACCAAAGCCAGCTCAATGCCCAATTCCTACCAGGAAACAACTTTACAATTCGTCCCTACGTAGTTTATTAAAATTGAAATGGCAGAAGCATAACGAGTCCCTGACCTCCAGGGCCTCACGGGTGAGGGGGTCAACACAAGATGGAGGAATGACAGCAGGTCGCAGAGGAGACGTCAAGTGACCAAACCAAACTAGGGACTGTGACGAGGGCACTTCGGAGAACTTACACAAACGCCAAGCTTAACAGTAAAAAGAAGCAGTTTAGTCTCAGGCACCAGTAATTGGCTCAGTATCTGTGCCAGTTGTACGCAGGCGTCGCGACCTAACCCGGAAGCAGTGCCTCTCTGGGCCGTAAACTCGGAATGTGGATAGAAAACTACATTTCCCGTGGTGAATCAATCAAAAACTCCCAGACTTCTCTCGGCCTCTAGTTTCCCATCTTTTCCCAGGAAGCACAGACTAAGTAAGACTTCGTTTCCCAGAATGCCGTGGGCTAAATTAGCCCTGCGCATGCGCCTCAAGACTATCCCGCGCTATTCCCTTAACCCCGCCTCTATCCTATCGCCGCCATTTTTTCGGAGACTTTCATCCGGCAACGGACGGGGCCTTTTTTTTTCTTAAAGGAGAAGCGGCAACTCAAATAATTTACCCCTTCTCCCCTCAAGAGCTGGCGGCGCTGGGGACAGAAAGGCCAGAGCAGGAAGGTGGGGGTCCGGGTGGAGGCGGGATAACGTCCAGGCTCCTTGTTAGGCTAGTAAGAGCCCTTGAGGGAACAGTGGCGCCTCAGGGAGGCAGGTGCGCGCGCAGCCGGCTGGGGGGGGGGGAGATGCGCGCGAAGCTGGTAAAGGTGCGTTTTGTCCTCTCCACCGCCCTCGCCAGCCCTGCCCCTCCCACCGCCCCTAGCTTGAGCTGAACTCCTGAGGGGGGAAAAAAAGGTCACTTTGGGATTGTCGCGAGACGCAGCCGTTTAACGGTGAGAACGGGTGCGCGGGGAAGGAAACCTCGCGCTCTCCCTCGGAGCCGTTTCCTGATTGGCTGAAAGAAGGGGTGGGGGAGGGCACCGAATACGCTACTGCGTGTGAGCCCGCGAGGGGCGGGGCAGGGAGGCCGATCCTCCTTCCCGATTGGTCCACTGCTAGTCTGTGCGGGTGCGCGCGTGCGCGCCGCCGGCGGTCGCGGGCTTGAGTGGCAGGGGGCGGGGGGGGGGCGCCCTCGGAGCGGGCGGAGGGGCGGGGGGGGGGGAGAGCGGTGCTCCGGAGTGAGGGAGCCGGACTCTCCGGGAGCCTAGGGGGCGGGGGGAGCTGCGCCGCGGGCGCCGCCGCCTCCGCCGCCTGGGACGCAGGGGTGGGGGACGGACGAGCCCCGATGCCGGGGGAGACGGAGGAGCCGCGATCCCCGGAGCAGCAGGACCAGGAAGGGGGCCAGGCAGCGGCGGCCGACGCGGCTTCGGACGAGCCCCGGCCCGGCGCGGCGGCGGCGGCGGCGGCAGCGGCGGCTGCGCCTGCAGGCACCGCGAGCAGCCGCGTGCTGAGGGGAGGTCGGGACCGCGGCCGGGCCGCTGCGGCCGCCGCCGCCGCCGCTGTGTCCCGCCGGAGGAAGGCCGAGTATCCCCGCCGGCGGAGGAGCAGCCCCAGCCACAGGCCTCCCGACGCCCCCGGGCAGCAGCTCGCGGCCGCGAAGCCCCCGTCTCCTGCTCAGGGCAAGAAGAGTCCGCGACTCCAGTGAGTACCACAGTCTTTGAGGCTTTGGGGAAGACCCCCCTCTGATCCGCACTACCTTCCCGGCTCCCGTAGCACCCGCTCCACGTGACACCCCGCTCGCTCTGCCCCCTGCCGGTTCGGCACGCCAGATGTCACGCCGCTAGCGGCCGGGCTCCTGCTGCTCCGCAGCCTGTGGCCGCCAGCCCACGCCCGAAGTCACCCTGTGCAGGCTGCATACCCTCTGCTTCCCGCCTGCTCAGTCCTCTGGCTTCTGCGCCCCCTTTGTCAGCCTATCGCATCCAGTTTTACATCACATTCCCGTGAGGAAATCAGCAGCGCGGTACTAGCCTTGAAGAATGTTTTTGCCCGACCCTATTAAGTAGCTTGCGAGCCACTTAAAAGTAGCCTTTCTCGCCCTCCTAAATCGTCAGGTTCATTTTTACCGTCAGGATGAAAACGTGGCTGTGGCAATTTGTTTTATATAACCAAACTAGATGTGTAGTTCTTTTACCAAGCAGTATATGTACTTTTTCTTCATGCGTATATTTTGACGTAGATACTTCATTCTTAAAATTAGATTGATCTGAATTGCTACTTTGAACTAATAGAGGCCCTTAACAGATAGCCAGGAGCGTAAATATTTTAAATTGCTTATTAAAGTAATACCTCAGAATAATTAAGTACATGAGCTTAGAAAGTTACACGTTTTAATCAAATTAGCTTATTCATTGTTGAGAATTTTATGTCATTTGATTTACAAGTGGGAAAGGGGGCAGAGAAAATCGAAGGGCAGGGATTTCAGTTTCAGATAACCTGCAACTTTCCAGTAGCAGTACAAAGACTTTCTTACCTTAGACCTAGGACATTTTTTTTTTCCCCCGAAGACAGGGTTTCTCTGTGTACCTTTGCGCCTTTCCTGGATCTCGCTCTGTAGACCAGGCTGGCCTCGAACTGACAAAGATCCGCCTGCCTCTGCCTCCCGAGTGCTGGGATTAAAGGCGTGCGCCACCACCGCCCGGCTGACCTAGGACATTTTTAAAGCTTAAAAACAAGCTTGTTTCAAAATTAGTGATTACAAATTCTTAAGCTGAATTGAGAGTTGTCACTGCTGTATGTACATGCTTCAGAAATCTTAAACTCATAAATATTTAACTCACAAACTTGAAAATATGTATATCATTAATCTTAATTGAGCATAAATTCCGTAGGCAAATTCTTTAACCTATGTGTACCTCGGTTTCTTCATCTGTGCACAGTTGGGGGCGGGGCTTACCTCTTTGACTTGAGTTTGTGCGTATTAAATACGTTGTGGAACCATTTCAGACTGTCTCACACAGTAAAATACTAAATTCAACTTGCTATTTTGAGTAGTGGTGGCATAGCAGCGACAGGAATACTTTGTAGTGATCTTTTTGTGTCAATTTTTTTAAGTTGCATGGTTTTGTATTACCTTACATAAACAAGTATTTTAAAATTTCTTACCTGCCACTTGAGAGTTAAGTACATCTGAATTAAGTAAAATTATATATAGAATAATAGTATTTTACTTTTCCCCACATGATAGGAAGTACTACTGATGGACATTTTGAATCCCACAATATAATTGTGGAAACAGTTGATCTTGGATGAATATGATTGCTTGCTTGCCTGTTTTTTGATCACAATATTTGTTATGGAGGGGAAGAAGCAATCTTAATGTTCCTTCTCATCTAGTACTATAAATAGTTACAGTGATCTTTACCTTCTTTGGCCTTCAGACTTATCCCTTGGTCATATATTTAAGATCAAATTTTATCATTCTTAAAATGAATTTTCATTTTTATTGCACATTTTACTTATTCAGTGGCCTACAAACCAGAGGAATCTTGAAAAGTTACCTGAAAAGTAACTGGGACTAGTACTGTTAATCCTTGAGACAATAGAATGTTAACTTAGGCCTGGCCTTGTATTTAAGGACCGTGCTGAGAAAGGGAATGTTGATTAGCACTCATTAAACTTGTGTACAAGGTTTACAGATGTGACAAGTTTTTAAACTCACTTTTCTATATGATCCTTTAAGACATGCAGTTTTGAGTGTCAGTGTCCTGAACTCTGACCTTGATTATTCTCTTCCAAATAAAATGACATTTAAAAAGGAGATGAGAAACTTAATTTCTATACTAATTATTTGTTCTTTTCAGATCTTTCCCTCTCTAGTTACTTTTTCATCCATTTTCCCTATCCCTGCTTTTTTACCTACAAAATCCTACGCAATTAGCTATTAACCTATATTTGTTTCTCTCAATTAAAGAAATAGCAGTATGTACAAAGTTGTTTAAAATATTGAAAACATAGATTTGGATCAACTGAAACCTGTGTTACTAAATTATATAGTGGAAAAAGCTTCAATTTGATATTCAGGCTGAAAAATTTGATGTCTCAGCTTTTACTGCTCTCTGGCTAAGTGACCTTGAGCAAGTCACCATCTTCTTGAGAGCTATTTCCTCTGTTGTGGATATTTTGAGTTTGTGACAGGAGCTTTACAGCTGAATAACAGGTTATACTTTCGTAAGCGTGACTGTATAACAACTTAATTCACATTGAAGTTTTTGAGAATTAAAATAATACAAAATATGAATACAAGAAAGTAAATTTCAGTGACTGTATTCAGGAGGAAGGCATAAAGTTAAATGCTAAGACTCATTATACACAACCTAAATAGCTTGTAGTTAGGAATTTAGATTCAATTTGTACAAATTTGTGTTCATGTTATTCAAGAAGTAAGCTCATTGTTTTCTGTATTTTAAGATTCTCATTTCAAATGTGGGTGTACTTCAAGAAGCATGTGGTATAATTTGAAAGTTAAGGATATAATTTTTTTCTTTGGCTTATTGTTTCTTAGGTGTTTTGCTTTGTTTTTCTTTTTTGGTGTGTTTGGTTGCTTTTAGGGTTTTCTGGTTATTTCTTTCTTTCTTTGAAGACAGGGTCTCACTATGTAGCCTTTACCTGAAACTTTGTATGTATGTACACCATACTGTGTCTCCAACTGACAGATATGTCTGTTGTCTTCTGCCTCCCAAGTGCTTTGATTAAAGGCGTGCACCACCCTGCCTGGCTTTTCTGCTTTTAATAAAGTATCCATGTGCAAACAGTGAAATCAAATTCAGACAAGGGTAGGAGGCAAAATACGTTTATTCTATAGTATAAAATTGGATATCTGTATATTCCAGATTTTAAAACTCTTTAACAAATAAGTCTTGAAACTTAAAATATAGCTCTTGCATAACCTTCTTAAACTAAGCCTTGAATGTTTTTGGAAGTCATCTTTAGGTTAAGATGAGTGACACATGAAGAAGAGTGTTGTTTTACTCTCTAGTATATGGAGTTCAGAGTTCTTTGTGGAGTTTTTTTGTCAAAAGTAAAATAGTAATAAACCTGCATTTTTGCTGTGTTCGCTTGAAGGGTTGTGGATAGTAAGAAGGATGGGTGAGGTGAATATTCTGAATAGACAAACACAAGCTTTTTGTTTCTAGAAAGCTTCAGTTCCACAGCATTGGAATCTTGAGTGTTAGGATCCTAGGGGCAATAAGGATGGTGGTAGAAGCAGCATTGAACTATTTCAAAAACATCTCAGACAGCCAATAGGTATGTTTTTAGTGCTCCATTTACTAAAGTAAAGGTGGTTCACAATTGTTAATTGTGAAGGTTGTGGCAGAGCTAGTAGTACTAAGCTTTTAAAAATTAGGCACAGTGACAGCTGTTCTTTCACAAAACATCTTTTAATTACATTGAGTTTATTTGCAATCTTTATGCTGCTAGATACTATGTGGTACCTTTATAATAAATAGGAAGCCAATTTACTTCTGAGTTTGGAGAAGGGATATGAAATTCACAATACTGTCTTTCCAGTTACATTTGCTATCCCAAATTAAAATCATAGGGATCACTTTGTAATTTAAGTCAGTAGGCTTATAACTATTTGACCCTTTTACTTGCATTTAATTTATAAAGTATAAGTAGTATTTATCTGAGTTGTGCATATATTGCCTTTCTAGAAATTTTTATTGGATTTAGTGATCAATTTTAGGGACTCTTAAAGTTCATTAAATTTTGTTAATAAGGTTGTTCGATAAATACAAAGTAGAGGAAGAAATGTAACAAAACATCCATATTTATCAGTGAGATGAGTTACTGACATCTTTTACCATCCTTGCTACACCTGCTTCCCTACCTCCTTTTTTAGACAGAGGTGTTTTAGAGCACATCTTAGATGTTGTCATTTCAGTCTTATTTACTGTATGTATATAAAATAAAGGACATTCATTTTCTTGCATAACCATTTTTAATAAAATTAGCAACATTTTCTTTGGGGTTTTTTGTGATTAAAAGCTACTGTTTCTGTGCTGTTGACTATGGTAGCCACTCTTTACATTAATCAATATTTTAAAAACTTGTTTACAGTTGCTATAGTATATTATAGGTAGGGTATTTCTACCACTGCTGAAAATTAGATTTTGCTTTGAACATCTTGTAGATGCTTTCTGTATTATTGTAGAGATGAATCTAAAATAAATACTTTTGTGTTTTAAGGAAATGCACAAAAAGTACTCATTTAACATCTGACTCTTAATTTCTTTTAGGTGCATAGAAAAAATAGCAGCTGATAAAGGTAAGGTTCCTTCTTCCTCTTCACATATAGGAAGCTCTGTCTTGTAGTCTAATAGAAAAGGCACTACACTTCAGCCTGATTATTCAGTGCTTTCCATTCAAAGGTGACTTTTTGCAGTAGGCCTACTGGAAGAGTTAGAATCTATTTCGATGACACAGAAAGCAGATTTGAAAAATACAGTGTCTTTGAATTTAGAAACTCAATAATGGGTTATAATATAAAAGCCACTCCAATTTTTAAAGCTAGCCATTTTTTAAGAAGTAACAAAAATTATGTGTAACAGTAGTAAAGTGTAGGCAAATCTTGATAGCTGGTGGACTCATAGTTTGAAGAATGTGAAAAGTTTGCTAAGATTTTACCTTGGTGAATAAGTCATTTCTATTTACAGTTTATCAAATAAAATAACATGTTGATGTTGAGTGTAGTTTTCTGCTTATCTGGATTATAAAAGGAAGCTTGTGTTCACTTTTAAATATGAGACTTCATTCTGGCTTTGCAAATTGAGTTATTTAAAATACCTCCATCATGTTAGGCCAATTTTATTCTCCTTTTTCTAGTCCTTAGTTGTGATCTTTGAAATTAAATTCTAAACTGGGCCAAATAACACTCCTTAATTGTATTTCATTTCTTGTTTGTACTCTTGGTCTCATCTAACATGGACAGTTTTCAATTCCTGGAGTTAACTTAATTGTAGAATTAACTAGTAAGCTTTTAAGGTTCAATTATGCATTGCTATTTTATCTTTAATTTTGGTGGAGACACAACCCCAATGTGTTGCCCAAGATAACTCAGAATCTTCCTGCTTTAGCTTACTAGTAGCATGCGCGCGCATTGTGTGTGTGTGTGTGTGTGTGTGTGTGTGTGTGTGATGTATGTTCCTGTAAATATATATAAATGACATTTTATATATCTGTAACTTCTTTGGTGAAAAGTTTTCTGTTCTTTATAAAGTACGCTTTGCAGATGTTTAAGTCACATTTAAAAATTGGATTTTTATGCAATTTGAAAGAATGGCAGTGTGATTAGTAACTTGAATTGGTGATTTCTTTGTCCTCGAATTTCTTTTTCTAATTCTTGGACTGTAAAGCTAATATCTCAAATACAGGAAGAAGACATGATTGTTTTTGTCTAGCAAGGTTCTTGTTGGAAAGTGTTATATCTGCCAGATGTGGAAGGTCTGTGTTCCTTATTCAGAAATCACTTTGGAGCTCTTACTATATGGGGAAGTATTGATAGGTAATGAGTACTAGAGGACTTATTAAAATAAATTTTTAAAGGCAATTGCTTTCATCAGAGCAGAAAATAGATTTTTCTTGAGGAAAATTTTTGAACTACTCTGGAAATGATTTTTGCTTGAGTATTTTAATCTGGAAGTACTAGCATGATGGGTAGCTGTGCAGCTGGGGAAAGATGAAAACTTGATTCTGGATCTGAATATTTTCAAACTCCCATCTCCTTCATGTCTTCATTAGTCTAACGTTAGTGCAGTTTGAAAGAGGAAACTCTTGTCTTCAGCTCACCTGCTGGCTTCATTAATCATAAACTCTCAGCTTATCCCTAGCTGTTTATTTGTTGATTCTGTTTATAACTTTGCTTCTGTTACACTTTCTTTTTTTTTTTCTATAACACTTTCTAAGCCTTGTTTTCTTCATTGTGTTATCTTTTGGTTTCAAGTAGTAACAGTAACCTTGCTAGACAAAAATAGTATGTCTTGAATATAGTACTTCTAACTGGTATTTGCAATATTAGCTTTCTGTTCTAAGAATCAGAAAGACAACTTGACAAAAGTTCATTCCCCCAAATTTGGTGAATTAGAGTGCAACAATTTATTTTTTCTTGGTTGAACTGTTTTTTGTTTTTAGTTTTTTGAGGAACCTCCTTACCATTTTTTCAGATTAGCTTGCTAATTTATATCCATCAATAGTGTGGTGTTCTTTTTCTAGTTATCACTAACACTTAACAATTCCTTTTGATACTAGTTATACGTTTGAGTTGATAATTTCATTATGAGTTTATCAGTATTTATAACTGTGGGGTTTTTATTGTTTAGTGTTTATAGATGGGCATATGGCTCATACTTGTAAATCCCAGCCCTCAGATGGCTTAGAAGGATTGCAACAAATTCCAGGCCAGCCTGAGCTCCAAAGTAAAGCCTTCTCTCCAGCAAACAAGAACAACAAAAAGTAAATGTATATTACATAACTTAATATCCTTTAGCAAAAAAGAAACTGTCATTTACAGATGGAAGTAGAGAACATTACATGAAATTAGCCAGATAGAGAAACAAATGATGCTGTATTACTTTAATGTTATGTGAGTTGTAAATTGTTATACAAGTAGCAGAGTGGTTACTAAAGGCTAAGAGGTTGGGGGAAGGAGGTCTGTTGATGATAGGGCACAAGTTTTGCTTAGACTCCAGGAGTACATTTCAGTGCTTTATTGTATTGCACTTTAGCACAGTAAGTAATAATGTAATAGACATTTCAAGATTGTTAAAGTCATTTTTAGTGCTCATACAAAAATGGTAAATTACTTAACTGGCAATTATGTTAATTAGCTTAATTGAAGCTTTATAATATAAACACCAAACATTTTGTGCATGCTCTGACTGTAACTTCCAGATTTCTCCAGCTTAGCTGGCGATCACCAAAGGCTGGAACAAAAGAGCAGCAACCAAGGATCCACCTGCATGTGTTTCTTGCAGAGTGCATTTGCTTTTTCCTATGTCTTACTACATAAAAGCACACTTTGGGGGAGTTTTTAGTACTCACAGACCCTGGAGAGTAGTGGCATAGGCACAGGCCCCACACAAGGGTAGCATAGTAAGGAAGATAGGAGAGACAACAACAACAGGAGCTGTTCAGGGCTGGGGGCAGGGGTGACCTGGAAGTTCATGGGGACTGCAGGCCTTCAGAGACATCTCTGGAGGTTTTATTCATGGCTACACTCTTAAGGCATTTTGGATGTGGTATTAAAAATTGGAAATTGGCTAGGCAGTAAAGGTGCACTCCTTTAATCCCAGCACTTGTGAGTCAGAGACAGGTGGATCTCCAAGTTTGAGGCCAGTTTTGTCTACGTAATGAGTTCCAGGACAGCCAGGGTCACAGAGAAACCCTGTCTCTTAAAAACAAACACAGAAAAATCAAGATTGATGGTTAAATGAGCCTTGCCTGGTTATTATAATGCTAAGTATACAGTTGAAGTATGTGCTGAGACAAGGCTAAATTAGAATCATTTACTGTACCACTAAATATAATTACTTGTCAGTTAAAAATGAATTTTGAGAAGCTGAGCATCAGCCAACAAGAAATTGAGTTAGTTGTTGGTTTTTTGTTTTGTTTTCTTTTGTTTTAATCTAAATTCTAGGCTGGAAATTTGGGGTTTCTGATACAGTCTTGAGATTGAATTTTGAATTTTTTCCGAAAACGTAAGTCTTAAAGTCTTTCAACTGATCTAGATCAGTGTTCAGGCCAACAGCTAGATACTACAGCACAAGCATATTAATACTAAGAATTAACTAACCATGAAACTTCTGTTCTTAGCTGGATGTTTTGGTAAAGGTCTGTAATCTCAGGACTTGGGAAGCTGTGACAGGACATTTATGAGTTTGAAGTCAGCAAGTGTCTCAATCCCCAAAGTATGCACACACACAAATGAAAAAAAAAGCCTCATTATTGGATTGACTTTTAAAATACCTATGCCTTTTTAAGCTCTCAGTTGTTTCCCTCTTTTAATTTTGCCTTGTGATCCCCCTGTACATGATGCAGGACTGGCGTCTTTATTTTTTTTTTTATTTTTTTTTTTTTTGGTTTTTCGAGACAGGGTTTCTCTGTGTAGCTTTGCGCCTTTCCTGGTACTCGCTTTGGAGACCAGGCTGGCCTCGAACTCACAGAGATCCGCCTGGCTCTGCCTCCCGAGTGCTGGGATTAAAGGCCTGCGCCACCACCGCCCGGCTAGGACTGGCGTCTTTATATAGACTTGCCTGTCTCTAGAATTGTGTGAATAGAGGTTTTTGTTTTGTTGGGGAGGGGGGTTATTTTGTTGTTGTTTGGGGTTTTTTTTTGTAAATTGTTTAGTTTTCTTCTTAATTTTCCTCAAATTTCTGGTTCTGACAATGTAGGACTAACAAACTGTTTATCTTAAATTCTCAAAGGTCACATAACACCTGTTTGTGTAGAGATTTGTTCTTTTTGCATGCCAAGCGGCCGGTCTTTTCTGTATAAGATAATATCTGGCTTTCCTCTAGTTTAGTGGTTCTCAACCTTCCTAATGTTTCAACCCTTTAATACAGTTCCACATGTGGTGACTCCCAACGATAAAATTATTTTCATTGTTACTTCGTAACTGTGATTTTTGCTACTATTATGAAGGAGACTCACAGGTTGAGAACCGCTGCTCTAGTTGAATTCATTTTGATACCCAGTTCCAGTACTGCCTACCTGGGGATAGCATCCCATCTCACAGGTTGTGCCCACAGATTTGTTCACCACTTCCAATGCCAGTCTCAGGTCCCTGGGTTTTTTTCCTAGTCCTTCCCACCAACACTAAAATATTTCTACATTCTCTTCATTGGGCCAACTAATTTGCTAGAGTTACTCGTGGAACTTGGAGAAACAATTAGGATATAAAGGAAATTACAAAGGATATAGATGCATAGGACAAGCCTGTCTTGATGGACCACACTCCAGGAACCTGTGTTCCCTCAAGCAGTTTTTGGAGTGGGTGGGGTTTCTGGAAGCTTCACTGAGTAGTATGATTGATTTAATCGCTGGCTGTTAGTGGGTAACTAACTTAAGTCCTGACTCCCTGCAGGTGAGGCAGAAAAGTGCCAAATGTTCATTGTGCATTAATCTTAGTAATGTTTGACGTCCTAAAGCTACCCAGAAACTACTAGGCAACAGTCTGTTCATTAGCGTACAAAGACACTTACTATATATATACTCTCAAAGATTTCTTGAGTTGTATGCAAAAGACAGGGTTCTCACATTGCTGTTCCTTTTATTTTTTAGTAAAGTATGGAAATGCAGAATAGAAGTATGTGATGAATTGGTCTTTATTTTCTTTCATTAATGTGAGACAAGAAGCTTTTAAAAGTAGGAGTTTGATGCCGACCTAGTGGCATATAGTAATCCTAGCAGACAAGGGAATCTTAGTTTGAAGCCAGCATGCACTGCATAGTTTTAGGCTGTCTTAATATAAAAATGAATAGTATGGATATGGCTTTTCCATTGATCAGTTCATTGTCTTTAAAGAGAAATTCTTGTGTATCTTGCTAACTGGGGTTGGAGGGTGATCTTTTGTTTTATTTCTTCTAAATAGTAAAAACACGTGGTAGCATGGGATCTCTGTGAACAAAACATTTTTGGGGATAGAATCTCTTCGTTTTTGCTGAGGCAGACCTAAAAGTAAAACTAAATTCTCTCTTTTCTTTCAGGCTCCCAGGTGCTAGGGATATAGGCATGTGCTTACCCAGACCAATGTCAAACTACTTTGGAAAACTTACTCTTTGTATTCTTCCCCTACACCCTCACTTTGAAAAATGACATTGTAATTCCAATTATTGAACCTTTCTGGAATGGTTTAAATGCATACTGTGTTTCTTATTTGCCTCACTGCTTCATTTGACCTTCAGAGTCTCTTATCACTGTCTGGAGTCAGTCTCATAAAACGTTGAAATGTGGTTGCACTGGCTCTTTGTGTGTTCTTTTGACTTTATGATTAAGTCAATTTTATCCCTTCACAGTCAGTTTAGTGGTTTTAAAAGCAAGCTGAAACAAAATATATGTGTATTCTGTTGAACAAGAAGTCTCCTGAGCACTCTAAAACCTTGATTAATTCTGATACCTTTTTAATTCCATCTAACCTCTTGGAATTTGAAGAGTATATCAATGAGCTAGATATGATTTTAGAGCTTATTTCTCCTAACCTTTCATTTAAAAATGAAGGCACTGAGACATAAGGAAATTTAAAATTGGTTTATTGAATTAGATGAGAAACCACACTAAATTTAGTGTCTTAAAAATAATGTGTTATTTTTCTGAAATGGGTGAGTAATTGTTATTCTTTGGGACTCATTGGGCATTTGTGAAATCAGATAACTTCAGAAAGGGCCATCTGGCATGTATGGCAGCTGTTGCCTAGTTATAGGTTCTCTTGCATATGGCTACTTTCTTTTAGATGACTAGACATTATTACCTGGCAACCTTTAGGTAGCTTTTAAAGGGAAAGTACAACCATAAAAGTGATAATGTCTCTCTCAGTTATGTCACGTTTGCAGTATAATACATCACTAAACTTGTATACCATCATAGGCACCTTCATAGAATTTTTACATCTCCAGTGTTAATGCCCTTTCTTTCACAAGCTGTTCTTTATAGCCTATTTCGTTGCTAGTCACCTGATTCTGTTATTTTTTTTAATAATTACCCTTATTGAGAATTTCATAAAATACATAAGGAAATAAGATCATATCTGTTCCCTATTTTCCTTTCTATCCCCCTACACTGTCCCCAAACCTAGGTCACTTTCATCTTTTTTGAGCCAAGGTCTTCCTGTGTAGCCTAGGCTGACCTCAAATTTGTGGAATCATTTTGCCTTACCCTCCTAAGTGTTAGAATTACAAGAGTTGCCATCAAGCCCTGCTTCTGTGTAAACACTGATCTGAAGCCATGTGTGGTAGCACATTTGTAATCCAGCATTTGAGAGACAGAAGCAGGAAGATCAGGAGTTCAGATCCACCATAGCTATGTAGAGAGTTCAAGCCAGCTGGACTACATGGTACCCTGTTTCAAAAGAAAAAAAGAAAAAGAGATCTTTCAGCTTTCACCCCAATATCTGGCTCCAGATTTTTTTTAATAAGACCATTTAGCAGTTCGTGTTACACTGTCATCTAGCTATTACTTATTTATCCTTTGGAGTGCAGGGATATCTATTAAACATTGAGCTAATTGTCAGGTAAAGAGGCCATTAAGTTAATGAACACAAATTAAGAGCTACATTTAAAGAGAAAGCAAAACCAGTCTTTTGGTGCTTTTTTAAGAAACGGAACTAATGTACCTAATGTACTATGAAAGTCAAAGGCACTATGATAATTGGGTTATTTTGTCCTACACTTTTAATATCACATAAAATGTGTATGTTTATTAAGTTTATACTTTGTTTCTGTACTGAATAGTAGTAAACAGATAACTAGAAGATCTAATTTAAGTGTTAACATATATACACAAATAGAGTCTAGTTAACTCAAAATAAGAGAACCATCAAGCTGAGAATGCAGCTCAGATGGTAGCTTGTCTTGCATACTAGAAGCCTTTCCAGAGTTCAGTTCCCAGCTCCCTATATTAATGGTGTTGCTCACCTAAATCTCAGCACTCAGGATCACATACGGTCATCTTCAACTACAAATACTCAATTTGAGACTGGCCTGTCTTTACCTACAGAAAACAAACAGAAAAAAAAGGAAAAGAATAAGTGAACCTGAACAACATTGTGGGTCATGTAATTTCTTGTGGTTTGAAAATCCATCACCTTTTCTCCTGGTTTGTGTTCACAAAAAAGAATTCTTCCCATTTTGTTTCAAAACAAATATCATGTACATCTTTCTTATGGGTCTTTTTAAGTCACTGTATTTTATAGATTGGATCTTGGCCCTTGTCTAGTTGTAAATTATCAAATCCGAAGGAAGTTTACATTGACCCCTCATGTTCATTCCTCTTTTCTGTGGTTAGGTACCTATAGTGGGAAGGATGTAGACTTTGGACTTTTCTGTACTCTTCAATTGTGAGCTCCATAACTTAATGTATGAGTGAGCATGAGGAAGTTTGTTACTTGCTTTCCTCTCCTTGGTCTGTAAAGATGAAAAATAATTATTTGGTAGGGTTTATGAACTCTATTTAGAGAAATGGGAAAAAATAATTGCTGGCACTAGGTGGGTATTTGAGGTTTGCTAATTCTCCATAAGACACAATTAAGATCTAAAAAGACTTTTACACCAGTTTCTAACTCAACTTAACACATCCTATTTCAGCAAAGAACCAGATATTAGCTGTATTTAGCTTTGCTAAGCCTGAGATAAATGAGTAACCTGAAAGTCAGAGGACTAAATATTGGGATGCCCCATCTAATATATTTCACCATGGCCAAATGGCTGCAATTCCTGGAATTCTATTTAGCTTTGTCTTGCTGCTTAGGAGAATTAGAAAAAAACATTCCTGTTGCTAGTGTCAATATCTTGGCTCAGTTCATAAAACTAACCACTCTTGTCCAAATGTCTTCTTTAACCTTAGCTATTCTGGCTCCCACCTACCCCAACCCCCCATCCACCTATAGCCTTGTTGGAGTAGGTGTGACTTTGTTGAAGGAAGTGTGTCACTGGTGGTGGGCTTTGGGGTTTCAGAAGCCAGGCCCAGTGACACTCTTCCTACTGCCTGCTGATCCTCATGTAGAACTCTCAGCTACCTCTCCAGCACCATGTCTGTCTACATGCCTCCATGGTTCCCACCATAACAATAATGGACTAAATAAGCCTCAGAATGTAAGCAAGCCCAATCAAATTCTTTCTTTTAAAAGAGTTGCCTTGGTTGTGGCATCTCTTCTCAGCAATTGAACACTAAGACAATATATTTACAGTATTGTACAACCATGGACTCCTGTCTAAACTCCAGATGTTTCCATTACCACCAAAGAGGTACACTATACTATTTAAGAGTAATATTCCTCCTCTCCCCAATCCTGACTCCATCCCCTACCTCAAATAGTAATTTCTACTATCTGTCTCTAGATTGTCCTTTTCTGAATATTTCACATAAATGGAGTCATATAATGTGTGACTTTTGTGTCTGGTGTTTATTGCATAGCACACTTTTTTAAGGATCATGTTTTCCTGCTTCTCACACTATCTTGAAGGCTCAGGGGATAAGGCCTGGCTAATATAATTAGGTTACTGGAAGCAAGCCTCAAAAAGTTAAACTTGTCCCTGGTTCTAGCTGCAATTTATGTTTCTTCAATCCGTGCTATGATGTCAGAATCTGCTGCATCTTCCTGCCATAATGAGCTGAAATTGAGCAAAGGTAAATTTTCCTCCCTTATGTTGGCCCTTTTTTTGATAGGTAGACACAAAAGTAACTCATAGTTTAGATACACAACCTTATGTTGATTAGGTTATTTATACATTTGGGCCATTATGAATTGTGATAATATACAATTTCTATGTAAGCATTTGTTTGATTAAATCCCTGTTTTCACATTTTGACATGTGACTTGTCTTTACTAGGATAAAGAAAATAATTTACAAATAGGAAAGATTTATTTTGGCTCCTTGTTTCAAAGATTTGCATCCATTATCATTTGGCCTATGTTTCTGGGCCTGTAGTGAGTCATAATTATTTTTCCCCTTTTATTAAAAATAGATTTTTTTTTCTCATACAATATATCCTGAATACAGTTTCCTTTCCCTCTGCTCCTCACTGTTACTCCCTACCCCCTCTCCTATCTGTATCCATTCCCTTTCGGACTCTCGTTAGAACAGAACAGGCTTCTAAGAGATAACAAACCAAATTCAATAAAATAAAACAAAAACCATCTTGTTGAAGTTGTACAAGGCAAACCAACAGAAAGAAAAGAGCCCATGAGAAGTCACTAGAATCAGAGACCCACTCATTCACACATTCGGGAGTCCCATAAAAATACTAAACTGAAAGCTTTAATAATATATATGCAGGGGACCTGGTGCATTTCCATGTCCAGCCTGTGCTTGCTGCTTCAGTCACTGAGTTCATATGACCTTTGTTTGGTTGATTTAAAGGGGCCTTATTCTGGTATCTTCCATCCACTCTGGCTCTTAAACTCTTTCTGCCTCTTCTTCTATGGGGTTCCCTAAGCTCTGAGGGAAGGGATTTGATGGAGATATCCCATTTAGAGCTGTGTTCTAAGATCTGTCTCTCTGTGTAATGTCTGGCTGTGGGTCTCTGTATTTGTTCCCATATGCTGTAGAAGGAGACTGCTCTGATGATGACTGAGTAAGGCACTGATCAGTGAGTGTAGCAGAATATCATTAGGAGTTATTGTTACCTTTCTTTTTTTTTAGACCAATAGTGTTTGGTCTTACCCCTTGGGCTATCTAGTCTCTGGTTCTTGGTCACCCAAGCAGTATTGGGTATGGGTTCTCTCTCACAGAGTGGACCTTAAGTCCAAACAGACATTGGTTGATAATTCTCACAGATTTGTGCCACCATTGCCCTAGTGTAATTTTCCAGGCAGGCCACCATTGTAGATCAAAGGTTTTATGTCTAGGTTGGTGTTTACATTTCTCTTTTGGTAGCCTGCAGAGTACTTTCCCATACCACATACACTAGAACATAGGGATGAAGGTTCTATGTAGGTACCAGCTCATCCTCTCCATGTTCAATGAGTTATGTGGAAGTTGTCATCAATAATGGGGCCTTGCTATCAATTTAAGAAGAGCAAACCATTGTCAACAGACTGGGTTGTTTGGGGATTTCCATGGGACCCCTTTCATCCACAATGCAATTGGATGTAATCTCGTCCCAGTAGTAGAAGCTTCATTTGGTGATAAGAAATAGCTAGTTGGGATTCTGTTTCCCTTATTATTTAGATACTTCATTAGGATTGCCATCATATATTTTAGGAAGTTTCCACTGCTCTAGGTTTCCATACCACCTCTCAGATGCCCCTCAAATCTAGCTGTCTCTGTGAATTCCTTTCCTCAATCCATCTGCACCTCCTCCCCACCTGACCCCCCCACTCCCACCGCCAATCCATCCATAAATCTATTTCCTTCTCCCAGGGAGATCCATGTGTTTCCCCCTAGACCTAACTTCTCTGGATCTATGGATTGTAGCTTGGTTATCATTTATTTAATGGGTAATATCCACATATAAATGAATACATACAACATTTATCTTTCTGAATCTGTGTTACCTCAGGATGATTTTTCTAGTTCCATCCATTTGCCTGCAAATTTCATGATGTCATACTTTTTAACACTGAGTAATATGTGTAAATGTACATTTTCTTTATCCATTCTTGAGGAATATCTAAGTTGTTTCAGGGTTCTGGCTATTATGAATAGAGCAGCAATGAACATAGTTGAGCAAGTGTCCTATGGTAGGATGCAGTGTCCATTGGGTATATGCCGAAGAGGGGTATAGCTGGATCTTAAGGTAGATTGATTCTCAGTTTTCTGAGAAATCACCATATTGATTTCCATAGTGACTGTACAAGTTTACACTTCCACCAGCAATATATGAGTGTTCCTCTTACTCTACATCCTTGCCATATGAGCTGTCACTTGCATTATTGATCTTAACCATTTTCATGGTGTAAAATGTAACCTCAAAGTAGTTTTGATTTACCTTTCCCTGATGACTAAGGATGTTGAACATTTCTTTGTTCCTCAGCCATTTGAGTTTCCTCTATGAAGAATTCTGTGTGTAGATCAGTAACCAATTTTTTTATTAGATCATTTGGTTTTTTTAGATCAAGTTTCTTGAGTTCTTTATATATTTTGGGTATTAGTCCTCTATCAGATGTGGAGTTGGTAAAAAATCTTTTCCCATTGTATAGGCTGCCACTTTATTACAGTGAAGGAAAAATGCTTTATAGCAGCCAGGAGGAAGGCCCACTTCCTAACAGTCTACTAAGGCAGGAATTCATCTGTGGATTAATTCACTGAAGTTAGAGCTGTCATGATTCTATTGCTTGTCAAGGCTCAGCATTGAAGCTGTTGAAACTAAAAGACTTAGTTTTGAGTACCTGAGTCTTGGGGGAGGAGGACCATTATATCCAAATCATAACATGAACTAGGAACTGTTAGATCATATGTAATTTGGTGTTGACATTTTGAGAATCTTCTGTTTTCCTGCCCAGTCTTACATATCTTTGCATTGTACAAGGGTTCCAGTTTCTCTCCAACACTGTTCTTTTTTATAACCATCCTAGTCAGTATTAAATTATGGTCTCATCAGGCTTTTGATTTGCTTTTCACTAATGACTGATTTTGAGTGTCTTTGCATGTGATTTTGGTTTTTGTTTTTTGGGGTTTTTTTTTTTAGCTTGTTTATCTTTAATGAAATGTTTGTTCATATCTTTTGCTTACGTTTCTAGTTATATGCCTTTTTTAAATTGAAAGATGCATTTTATGTATTTAAAGTATTGTAGCAGACATAATTTGCAAATATTTTCTCCCATTCTGTAATTTTTTTTTTCTGAGGTGTCATTTTTCTATTAGGCTATTATTAAATAGACTTTGCTCCTGTTTAACTTTTGCTATATTTTATAATTATGCAGTCAGATGTTGCCTCAAATTTTACATTATTTTTAGAAAGGTTTTTACATTGTAAAATTATTAAAAGGTTATCTACTGTCCATGTGGGTTAGCTTCTAAATATAAAAACTACCTTTATTTACTAGCTGTACATATTCTGGATACTTAAGCTAGTGCTAAAGTCTTCAATGCTGTGTAAAAGAGGATAACCCATCTCATTCACCCTAAAAATGTGAGAAAATATAAGATAATATAAAATGGTTTGTGCACCTGTATACAGTGTCTTTACAGAGCCTGAAATAGAATAATACTGAAATTAAACTTTACCATGAGGTTATTGTACAGATGAATTTAAATTCGTGGTGTGATTCTAAGTAAAATTTAGCATCAAAAAAAGGCATTCCTGTTAGGAAAATCCTTTTAAGTAATTCTTTGCAACATTACATTACTGAAATATCCAGAACTATCGTTCTTTTTGTGTCCCCGAGTTCTGGTTCTCTTTCTGAGACTACTTTCTTAATTTAACTTAGAGCTAATGGTGAGAATTCCATGAATTAATTGCTTGGGTCTATTTTACATGCATTTTTAGTAAATAAAGTACTGTTTGGCAATGAAAAGTATTTTACATAGAGTAGCAACATTAGGATAAGTGCTGCTTTAGTATTTGGGTGTGTGTGTGTGTGTGTGTGTGTGTGTGTGTGTGTGTGTGTGTACACATAGATGCATACCACTACATTTAATTAGGGTTGCTTGCATGAGCATTGGTACAAGGGCAACTTGTAGAGTGGCCATGTCCCAGGGCAGTATTACTGCCCCTACCCCAGCAAGCATTAACTGCCTCCTTAGAGACAAGTGAGACCTTATGTTGAAAATCCCAGTCTTAGGCAGATAACAACAGCCACTGTGCTTTTTTTTATGAGTGCAGTAGCCATGTCAGATTCAGGACATAGCATTTTACAACACAGTCTCCCATATTCTGATTCTTATATTCTTCCCTCCCTTCCCTAAGCCTTGAAGTGGATAATATAGATGTCCTGGACAGTGGCTGAGCCCTCAGCAATCACTTATTCTGAGCACTTTAACCAGTTAAGCGTCTCTGTATTAACCTACTGCTCACTGCAAAAAGAAACTTGTCTAATCAAGGCTGAGAAAGCACTAATCACTAGATGTAAACATAAACGAAAGCAATGTGACATGTCTGGTTAGGAAAACAACTAATAGGTTTCCCTACCGACAACATATCCCACCTCCCAACCAGCTGTGGGACTTTGACCAGGTTGTCCCTAATAAGCATGGATTCCCTCTGATGGAATGAGCCTCAAATCCAGTTCAGAAAGCAATTGATCACCCCAAAACAGTTATGCCACTATTATACAAATGGGTATATCATGTCTGGCAGTATTGTAGATCAGTATTGTAGAATGCTGATTCTACATTCTACAATAGAATGTAGGGTCCACAACTGAATGAGACTTGATGACTTTCTCAGTAGTGTGCATAGCACCTTTCAGACCTATAAAGTTGAGTCAGCAGAAGGCAAAGCATCCAATTCAGTTCCACCTTGATTTTTGTCTTGTAACCAAAGTATGTGGTGTCTTCAGCAGAGGGTTCTGACCATTCAGTTCTAGTGGGCAGTTGCCTTTGGGTTGGTTTGTTTGTTTGTTTGTTTATAATCCCAATGGCCTTAAGTCATGATCCTTCTACTATCTGAGCCTAAGTGGTAGATTGTAGGAATACTACCTATACCACTCTTGTGTGATGAAACACCATGACCATGGCAACTCTCATAAAGGAAAGCATTTACTTGGAGCTTGGTTACAGGTTCAGAGGTTTAGTCCATTGTTGTCATCGCAGGAAAGGTGGTGGCATGCAGACAGACATGGTCTTAGAGAAGTGCCTGAGAGCTCTACATCCAGATCCACAGGCAGAGAGAGATACTGGGCCTGGCTTGAGCATTTGAAACCCCAAAGCCAACCCACCAGTGACATACTTCTCCTACAAGGCCACACCAACCCCAACAAGGACACACTAATAGTACCACTCCATGATAATGAAGCATTCAAATATATGAGCCTATGTGGGTCATTCCAATTCAAACGACCACAAGGCTCAAATAAAGACCCATGTTATTTTAGTGTCTTCTTGTTTTGTTTTTTATTAATAAACCTGTGGGGGGGGGAGTATTTTGCTGGTTAACTGAAAACTTGAAAAGAATTATGTTTTCATCTAGATCCCAAGGAAGAGAAAGAAGATGATTCTGTCCTCCCTCAGGAAGTTTCCATTTCTGCAACTAGATCTAGCCGGGGCTGGCGCAGTAGTAGCAGGACATCTATCTCTCGCCTTCGAGACACTGAGAATACTCGCAGCTCTAGGTCCAAGACTGGTTCGTTGCAACTTGTCTGCAAGTCAGAACCAATTACAGATCAGCTTGATTATGGTACGGTGCAAATACAGTATTATTACTCCAATGCCTAATTGGTTCTTTAATCTTAAATGTAATGCTGAGCATTTACCTAAATGTCTTAAATTTCTGGGGACAAGTGATAATGTAGGTAGGATTTGTTTTAGATACATTGTAGATAGTCTCCATTTACAGAACTGCTTCAGTGATTTCACTTAATCTTTGGCTATGAAAAGAAAATGTCTTGTATGTGTTTCTCAATAAATTTTGGTTTTATTTTCTAGACGTTCCAGAAGAACACCAGTCTCCCGGTGGCGTTAGGTACAAAGTTTATTCCATACTTAAATCTTTGAATATTCAGTTGCATTAAATGATTGAGACTTTTATTTGATAGAATTTTGAGCTGTTAAATTAACTTCATTTTTAATATATCACACTTAATATTCCACATTTAATTTTAAATGGACTATAAAACACAAAACTTGATTTCCTAGTTCCAAAAACATGTATTGAGTATATTCTCTGGGTGAAATTATTCTGTCAGCAATGTCTTTCATGGTAATTTAATATTGATTAAATCTTTTTGTCTTTTTTATCAGACATAGAATTACAAACTCAGTTGTCTAAGTCTTCGTGCCATTGGACAATTATTTCTTGTTTTTACTTAAAAATGTTATAGTATATCTTATTTGTGGAGTCTAAGTTCTAAGTCTAAGTTCTTTTAAAAAAAAGGAGCTTAGAATGTAGTCCAATCAGATCATAAGGATAAAAATTTTAGGTAATGTGATTGGCTGTGTCTTAAGTATTCTAATTCAGTCCTATCAGATAATCCTTGGAGCCAGAATTTATCATTTGTTTGCTTATTTTTAGTAGTGATGAGGAAGAGGAGGAGGAAGAAGAGATGTTAGTCAGTGAAGAAGAAATACCATTCAAAGATGATCCAAGAGATGAGACCTACAAGCCTCACCTTGAAAGGCATGTTTGAAATTTTACTGTGTATGCTAGTGAAAAATAAGTAGGAATACACAGTTGAATATGTTTGTTTTATTTTTGTTGCAAGATTAAATAAACATAAAAATAATTTTAAATGAGTGATTGCTTTGCAACTATAACAACTTACTCCCACATAACCCTTTCTTTGGTCTATTGAACTTTAATATTAACTGTACTATTTAATAGATGTGTGCATGTTTTAATAAGGTTTTTTGGAATGTTTAGAATTGTTTTGCTCATTATCTTATTTCTCTTTGCAACTATAGTAAGATTTGATTTTTATGTTTTTGACCTGCCTGAATTTGGATTACTATTGCTATGAAGACCAGTGATGACCAAAAGCAGGTTGGGGAGGAAAGGGTTTATTTGACTTATACTCTTCCACACCTGTTGACCATTACTGAAGGTAGTCAGGGCAGGAACTCAAGCAGAGTGAAAACCCAGAGATAGGTGCTGAGGCAGAGGCCGTGGAGGGACACTGCTTCCTTCCTACCTTACTCCTCATGGCTTCCTCAGCCTACCCTCTTACAGAATCCAGTACCACCAGCCCAGGGTTGGTCACATCCACAGTGGACTTGGTTTTCCCCCTTAAGGAGACATTTTCCCAGTTGAGGGTCCCTACTTTGAGATGACTCCAGCTTGTGTCAGGTTGACATAAAATTAGCCAGTATAAAGCAGTATTCACCCATGGACATTTTATATTTTTAGATATATATATATATCCTTGCTGTGGGGTCGAGGTGTGCACAATTGATAAGTTGTAGTTTGTAAGCTGAGAATCACAGCTTCAGAATAATGAGATAATGATAAATACTAAACTTTAACCTGGTATCATACACTACCTTTAATGAAGTCTTTGTTAGAATTTTTGTATTGAAATGTTTTTCTGTTTGCAGGGAAACCCCAAAGCCACGGAGAAAATCAGGGAAGGTGAAAGAAGAGAAAGAAAAGAAAGAAATTAAAGTGGAAGTAGAAGTAGAGGTGAAAGAAGAAGAGAATGAAATTAGGGAAGATGAGGAGCCTCCTAGGAAGTGAGTAGGCAGTTTCTACAAAAAGTGGAAACCTTCCTTTTAAAACTACTAGTAGACAGACTTCAAGGTACATGAGAGTGTGTGTGCACGTGCATGTACACACACATTCGAGCATAGAGCCACATACATTTAATCCCAGCACCTGGGAGGCCAACCTAATAGCTAATTACAGCCCACCCAGGGCTACATAATGAGACCCTCTCAAATAAAATACCTAAGTACACAAAAGGTGTGTGTAAACTGCTCATGTTAAGCAACTTGAGTTTCTTTGGGGCAACTTCTCAGAAGTTTGAAAGTTTGTTTTGGTGTTGGTTTTGTTTCATTGCAAAGTAATATATAAAAGACAGTCTATGGGGAGACAGAGGGAATAGAGAAAGCGAGGGGAAAAACAAAATCTCAAAAACTAATAGGTTAAATGATGCAGAAGCCTTAATTCTGTAAAAACTTTCCATATGGTGTACACTTTGTGCAGAAATAAGATTAAGTGTTATATTATCTTCTTGATTGTCTTTTTTGATTAATTGCATTTAGATGGTGAACTCTTTACTATAACTAGCCTTCAAGTAATAACATTGAAATTTAGTCAGATATTCCATAGTAATGCCTAGTTTACTCCAAGATAAAGAATAATTTATGAGTGGAATTACCTCAGAGTAAATCTGGCTTGATGGCCAGATGCCTTTGTTTTTTTTGTGTTGTTGGTTATGCTCTGTGTCTGCCACCTGTTCTTTGGCCCCTGGATTGTGCTTCAGCCGTCCTTATCTCCATAAGCTTCCATCTAGAATATTTAGTAAACTGCTCTTTCTTAAATTATAGGAGAGGGAGAAGGAGAAAAGATGACAAAAGTCCACGGTTACCCAAGAGGAGGTGAGGCATTTCTGCTCCTTTTTTATACTTTAAGTCTTCGATAAGTGTTTGAGTACTTTAGCTTTCATAAGCAGAGGAGGTGTGGCTTACTGAAAATTTCACAAATGTGGTTTCCTTAGTGGCCATGATGCACAGATGGTGTGTTTTCATTTTCGTTGAAGGATGCTGAGTCGTCTGAAATCCTCAGTACTTTATAGCTTGCTAGCTTATTCATGCTATTTTAAACTCTCAAGCATTTGGCAGTTTGATTACTTGAGTACAAATTTTCTGAAACCTATGTATTACTGTAGATATTTTAATTTATATGAGACCTCTATTATCACATTATATATAGAATACCAGTTCTCTTGCTAACTTTTTTCTAACATTTTGGTAATAGAAAAAAACCTCCAATCCAATATGTCCGTTGTGAGATGGAAGGATGTGGGACTGTTCTTGCTCACCCTCGCTATTTGCAGGTCAGTGAAGTTGTTACACAAGACAGTCTTTGATACAGTGTCCCTTACTTATCTCCTAAGATGTCAATTTGTGTGGCATTTATAAACACTGATACAAAATGTGAAGAAAAATATTCCTAAATATAAAATTGCATAAATCGTCTTTACTCCACTTGTACTTCTTTAGCAGAATACCTGGACTAGTAATTTAAAGAACAAATGTATTGGCTTTTGGTTCTGACTCCCTTAGAAGTCTTAAGAATGTGGTACCAGCATCTGGAAAGTGGTCTTCTTACTTCATCACAGAGTAGTGTAAGGCTGAAGGACAAGAAGGAAGCATGAGGAGAAAACGGGGATCTGAGTTCACTTTGTTAACAACTTTAATCCATTTGTGAGGACAGAATATATCTCAGCGTTTATTACATTGAAGATTTAAATTTTCAGCACAGGAACCCTGGGGGATACACTTACACCTTAGCACATTCTATTAAAGAAATACTAATGAAGAACTGAAAAACCTGAGCCCAAGTACAGGACTTCTTGGATTTTTACAGTGTTACATTATGTTCCGAAATGGTTTGAAGAAGTCTTCTATAACAGATTATTGAAACAATACACAAAGACACAGAATAGTAGATTTTAACTTTAATATATATTAGGACAAAATGAATATAGCATTCAAACTAGTGACTTCTTTGAGATAGTACAAAATGATTTTTTTTTTAATTTTTGGTCTTTTTAAGTTTTCCCTTAAGTGAATAGATATTTAATTGGCTGGGTTTTGGGGTATGTACAAGTCTGGCAGGAAACAGGGAATTGAAATAGTGAAATGCTACTTGGGAAATTCCTGTTAGTCTTTAGCAGCAAATATGAGAAACTAATAACTTACTTTTGGAGTATAGTTTTGTTACAGTAATAGCTACTGGGTTTTGGTTTTGGTGTGTGCCATTTGGTATACCCATTATTGTGTTTTTATTTTGCAAATGAAAACTAGAACTTGAAATGTTTAAGTACATCTAAGATCACATTGCTAGTGAGTGACAAGTGCAGATCCAGGTCTGTTTCATACCTTGTGTTCTTTACCATTTTACTCTGCTAGTTTTCCTTTAGAACCTTTTTGATTTAGCAAAAAGAAAAAAGAAATGTTGAGATTTTCCTTTTCACTTTCCTTTTGCTATTTTAGCACCACATTAAATACCAGCATTTGCTGAAAAAAAAATATGTATGTCCCCATCCCTCCTGTGGACGACTCTTCAGGCTCCAGAAACAACTTCTGCGACATGCCAAACATCATACAGGTACATTTCTAAGTAAATGGTTTATCATGTAGCCAAGTGAACTGCAGTTTGGGCATATAGTCTGGTAATGTAGCAAGATTTTTCTAATACAAGTCTTCTTAAAAGGTCCTAGCAGAGAAGCGTGGGAGAAAGTTAGGAAAATAAACGTTAATAAAATATAAACATATAAAAATTTAAATATGCCATTTTTTAGTTGAGCTTGGGCTCACACACCTATAATCCCCAGCACTGGGAAAACTAAAGCCGGAGTTTGAGTTGTAGGCCAGACTGGATTGCATAGACAGAACCTGTTTTAAGAGCTGGAGATAGAGGAGATATAAGATCTCATTAAGAAGCCATGGCTGTACTAGAACTCACTGTGGAGACCAGGCTGGCCTCAAACTTCAACCCATCCTACTATAGTTTCCCATGTATTGGGATTGACGTTCATTGGTTTCTAGTCTTAAAATAACCTTGATGTTGGGATAAAGTGCTTGCCCTGCAATCATGAGGACCAGAGATCAGATACTCTAGGACCCATATAAAAGCCAAGTAGATGGCTTCCTATAATCCTAGCACTTGGGAAATAGCATCTCTAGGGCAATCTGGCTAACTAGCAGGAATCAGTGCTCTCTGGGTTCTGTGAGCAATCCTGCCTCAAAGAATAAAGTGGAGAGCAATCCCAAAAGATAACTGACTGTAACTTCAGTTATACGAAACCAGAAGTTTAAAAGAATTAAAAAATTTGCCAGTGATTACCTAATTAAACAAACAGAATCTTTCAACTCTGCTTCAGGTAGATACTTATCAACAAAGATAGAAACTTGGTAGTAGCTATTAGGAATAAAAGTAGAATGAACATTAATGAGAAATCCTAAACAGTAGGGGTTTGCTTTCCTGTATGTTTTTCTATTAAATAGCTAGAGATGATTGTATGTGTAGAGATCATAAAAGGTAGTTACTGAATTTGTTTGCTAGTTCCTATAGAAACAACTCAAAAACAGGAGCTGACTAATGTGTATTATGGAATAGGCTCAAATTCTGTTCATTTAGAGCCACTGACAATCTGAATGAAATTCTGCTTTAAACATAGAGTTGCCTATTAATAGTATATAGTAGTAAATGGATGCATCTCACACTTGATAATTGCATGTGTTCCGTCCTCAGTCTTGGACCGTAAGAATAAAAATTCCCCCTTGAAAAAATATGTCTCTCCCCTAGCTGATAATGATGTATATACTCTCACTTAGGCCAATTACTTTTCACATTTCCTTAAGTATAAATTACAGGTACCAATATGACAGACTGATTGTAATAAAGATGAAATGAGATAACATGTGTTTCTATTTATTATATAGAACTTGCAACATAGTAGACATTTGCAAAATACCAGGATATGAACTTTTGGACATTAATTTCCCCAAAGTCTACAGTCATTTCTTCATACTATATTAGTTGAGGGGTCAGTGCAGAGGAGGACTGCTGTTTTGCTCCCTGAATACATGCTATAATTTTTTTTTTGTTCTCTCTCTGTACCGTTTTTGTCCCACTGAAAGTCTTCCTGACAGCCAGCTTAGACTATTTTAGCTAAGTACCCCAAATCCACTGTGAGAAACTTTTAAAATGCATTCTGGTTCAAATATTTATATTTGGTTAATATAATTTCAGAATGTTATCTTTCCCTTTGGAAATTAGTATATGCAGGCCCCATTTGTGAATGTAACTTATCAAGTGGGTACCCCGTACTTGCTGTGCTCCATGGAAACTAGAATGTTCTAAGCTGATTGTCAGGAAGACGAAGTGGGACATATGAGTGATGCTGTTGTTTCTGTGTTAGAATTGTATTTTCAGACCTTGTATAGTGTGCAACACAGAATAGCCAGCATTGGCAGCATTTGGGTTTTTTTGCTAGCCCTCTCTCATATGTGATGAATCAGCATATTCATTAGTATCTCTAAGGTGATAGCTGTGTATGTTCAAATTTGAGGAAAAACATAGCTCACTCCTCAGCCTCCTGAGTGAGCCACTTATCATCTGACTGGTACACATGTTAAAGCTGTTTGGGAAGGAGTATTGGATTAAAGTAGATATTGTTGACAACTTAACTTACACATGATTTACTGTGATTGCATCAAGTAGTTTTAAATGGGATAGAAAATGTAGTGGTTATTAAAAACAAATTATTCAACGTATCTTTGTCCTTTGGCTCCCTAACCAAAGTAGTAGAAGCATAGTACAGTGATCCTTTATGTTATTGATTCCACATTATGCTAGATTCGTTTAAGTTCTATGAAACCTGAGGTGAGGAAGGGAATTACAATGAAATGAGGAAATACTTTAGTGCAGAAGATGCAGGGTGACAAATAAGATAAAGAAATACAAGTGGCATTTGCATTTATTTGAAATATTATCTGGGTATTATTAGCATTTAAGTATTACCTGGCCTGTCCCTTGAGGACCTGGCCAGTAAGCAGGCAGTACTTTGGCCTACTCAGGGTCCTAAAAGTGTCATCTATATAGGTCCCCTTTAAGAGCAACCCCCCACCTTCCCACGAGGCCTTCTGTCTTCCCTCTTTCCTGTCTCTTCTTCTCTTTCTCTCTTCTTCCTCTTCTCTCCTCAGCTCTTGTGTCTCCTGTCCCGTCCTCGTCCCGCCCCCCCCCATAAACTTTCCATGTGAGTGCTGTTGCAGGGTGTGAATGACTTTCCGCCGTGCCCCTTGACTCAACCCACTAAGGCTGCCTGCTACCTGTCTATTTTAAAATACAAAAGATATCATTTAACCTGAAACAACATGTTTACTGTTTTAGATATGGATCAACTTGTTCCAATAGAAAGCTATAATGTTTGTTATTTGGTTTTTTTTTTTTTTTTTTTTTTTTTTTTTTTGGTTTTTCGAGACAGGGTTTCTCTGTGTAGCTTTGCGCCTTTCCTGGGACTCACTTGGTAGCCCAGGCTGGCCTCGAACTCACAGAGATCCGCCTGCCTCTGCCTCCCGAGTGCTGGGATTAAAGGCGTGCGCCACCACCGCCCGGCTGTTATTTGGGTTTTTTAAAATGTTAGATTGTTTGTTTTTATGTGAACATCTTCCACATTATGAAAAAATATTTTAAAGAATAAAACTCGTGGAAAATGCACTTAATGTCTATCTTAGTTACTGTTCTGTTGCTGTGAGGAGATACCATTTTCAGTGCAACTCTTTTAATAAAAGAAAAATGCTTTTATTAAAGAAAACATTTAATTGGGAGCTTGCTTACAAAGTCAGAGTGTTAGTCCACTGTCATGGCTGGGAGCATGGCAGCAGGCAGGCATGGCATTGGGGAAGTAGCATCCGGTCCACAAGTTGCAGGCTAAGAAAGAGACTGTAATACAATTCAGTTCTACATATCAGCCATGGATTTCCTTCTTCTCCCCCCTCCCACCCCCCTCACCTTCCCCCCAACCCGCCCCCCATTCCCATCTCCTCCAGGGCAAAGCCTTCCCTGCAGGCTGAGATCAACCTGGTAGAAAAAAAAAATTATAAATTATGCAAGAGTTAGTTTGATGGCTTTGAAATAATGAGGTTTTCAAAACTATGTATTTGGTTTGAGGAGATTTTATAGAAGGGTATTAGTTCAATATATTATTAAAAGCAAAATAAAATCATCTAAAAAAAGAAAAAAAGAAAAAGAAAGAAAGAAAGAGACTGTGCCTAGCTTGGGCTTTTGAAACTTCAAAGCTCACCCCCAGTGAGTCCTCTCCAGCAAGGCCACACCTTCTAATCCTTCCTAAATAGTTCACCAACAGGAAACCAGATAGTCAGATATGTGAGCCTATAGGGCCCATTCTCTTTCAAACCACAAAATCATAACCAATTTATTCAGTATCTGGAATGTTGGTACAAGGATTGAGGTTCTGGTTTCCTTCAAATATGTAAGCCTATGGGAGCCATTCTCATTTAAACCACCACAAAATCCTAACCATTTTATTCAGTATCTGGAATGTTGGTACAACTAGGATTGAGGTTCTGGTTCCCTTATTTATACTAGATTTTTGGTTTGGGTGGGTTTTATTTTGGTTTGTTGAGACAAGATTAACTATATAGCCCTAGCTGACCTAGAAATCACTATGTAGACCAGGCTGCTCTTACACGGAGATCTAGCTGACTCTGCCTCCTAAATGCTGGGCCTGGCCTGGTTATTCCAGTTAATATACTGACATCTGAAGGCTTGGAGCTAGGAACCACAAGTGATAGAGAACTTTTGTCTCTCTGCATCTGGGTTACCCAACTCAATATACTTTTCTAGTTCCATCCATTTACTTGGAAATTTCATGATTTCATTTTCCTCCACAGCTGAATAAAACATTGTGTAGGTAGGTAGGTAGGTAGGTAGGTAGGGAGAGAGAGAGAGAGAGAGAGAGAGAGAGAGATTACACTTTCATTATTCATTCATCAGTTGAAAGACATTTCATTTGTTTCCATTTTCTAGCTTCTGTAGAGCAGCAGTGAACATGACTCAGCAAGTAACCCTGTAGATACAGTGGGATTTCAAGTTCTTTAGGCATTGTCAGAGTGCAATAGCTGTGCCATTTGGTAGATTTATTTTTAGCTTTTTGAGGATTCTCCACACTGATTTCCAAAGTGTGTGCATCAGTTTGCAATTCCAACAGTGGATGAGGGTTCCTTCCTCCATTCAGCATTTGTTGTCAGTGGCAGGGATATTCATTTGTATTTCTCTAATTGCTGAGGATGATGAACACTTTTCATGATGTATCTTAGCTACTTTTATTTCTTCTTTTGTAACTCTGTTCTGATCCACAGCCCATTTTCGAAATGAATTGTTTTCTTGATTCTTTTTTTGTGTTCTTTATATAGTCTACATGTTAATCTTCTGTCAAATGTATAAGAGGCATAGATTCTTGCCCTCTCTATAGGATTCCTCTTCATTCAATTGTTTTCTTAGCTGTACAGAAGCTTCGATTTTATGAGAACCAACCCTATGGAAGTTTGAATGAAAATGGCCCCATAGGCTCAGGGACTAGCACTATTGGGAAGTGTAGCATTATTGGAGTAGACATCATGTTGTTGGAGGAAGTATGTTACTGAGGGAGGGCTTTGAGGTCTCAGAAGCTCAAGCCAGGCAGTGTGGATTGTTCTCTTCCTGCTGCCAGATGTAGACCTTTCAGCACCACCTTTGCCTGCATGCCACCATGCTTCTTGCCATAATAATAAATGGACTAAATCTCTGAACTGTAAACCAGCCTCAATTAAATGTTTTCCTTTGTAAGAGTTGCTGTGGTCATGGTGTCATGTTTTATTCACAACAATAAAACCCTAAGAGGACCACACTTGTCAGTTGGTGTTAATTCCTCAACAAATAGAATCCTATCTAGAAAGTCTTTCCTAAACCTATATCTTAAGTTTTCTTCTAGCAATTTCAGTGTTTCATGATTCATACTGAGGTCTTTGGTCCATTTGCAGTTAATTTTTGTGCAAGATGGTAAATATGGACCTGATTTCAGTAGACATCTCATTTTCTCAGCACCATTTCATGAATATGATGTCTTGTCTCTAGTTTTGTGTTTGGAATCCTTTTATTATTAAATTTTATAGTCAAATATAATTTAATAGTTATATAATTAAAAATTATTGCTGTAAAAAACATCTCAACCCAAAGCAAGTTGGGGAGGAAGGGGTTTGTTTTCCTTATATTTCAACATCACAATCCATCAAAAGAAGTCAGGGCAGGAACCTGGAGGCAGGAACTAAAGATACCATAAAAGAACATTGCTTACTGGCTAACCCTAGGACTACCTGCCCAGGGGTGGCACCACCCACAGTGAACTAGGCCCAGCAATCATCAATCATAGCCTGAAGTACCACAGGCCAATCTACTGGGGCTATTTTCTCAGTTGAAATTCCTCTTTCAAAAGAAACTCTAGCTTGTGTTAAGTTTACATAATGCTAGACAGCAGAGCATCTTCAAATATCAGATGGCTGTAGTTATATGTACATATATTTGGATCTTCTCTTTTGTTCCATTGATCTACGTGTTTATTTTTGTGCCAGTGTAATATATCTTGAAATATAGAATGGTTATTCTTCTAGCATTGTTCTTTTTTGCTCAGGATTGCTTTAGCTGTCTAGGGTCTTTAGGGGTTCCATATGAATGTTAGGATTTTTATTCTTTTCTGTGAAGAATGTTGTGAACCTTTTCATTGGTATTGCATTGTGTCTATAAATGTCTTTCGGTAAAAGTCATTTTTCACAATATTAATTCCAATCCATACTCATGGGAGGTCTTTCCATTTTCTAGTGCATTCCTCTCTCTCTATTCAGGATTTCCTTTTCATTGTAGAGGTCTTTTACCTCCATATTTAAGTTTATTCCTAGATATTTTAATTACTTTAAGGCTGTTGTCAATGAGACTGTGTCCCATGATCTCATTCTTTGTTGTATATAGAAAGGCTGCTGTAAGTTGATTTTTTTTTTAATCCTACAACTTGACAGAAGTTGTTTATAGTTTGTAGAAGTTTTATGGTAGAATTTTGGGGATCTTTGTTATACATAATATGGTAACATCTGCAGATCAGGAGTGTTTGACCCTTTTTCCTACTTGTACATTTTTAATTTCCTTACCTTATCGTTTCAAGCAATATTGGAAGGAGTGAGGATAGTGGACTGTCTTGTTCTTGATAATTATTTATTTGTTTTGATGGGGGAATTTAGATTGACCTAGCAGACACATTTCTAGGTGTGTCTATTCAGGGGTTCCTAGAAAAGTTTAGTGATGCTCTGGATATGGGCATCAGCACTAAACTGCCAGCTAGATTCCTATACTGCATAAAAAGGAAGAAAGTAGAAAATGAGCTAAGGACTTGCATTCTCCTTCTGTTTCCTGATAGTCACCATGGACCAAGTTTTCTCTCAAGTGGATTGCAATCAGCTGATCTGTAACAATGATATAAAGCATTTCACCAGTTACTTGTCTGTTATTTGGTCATAAAAACAAGAAATGTTGTAACTTAGACCTGTGAGATGTTCATCCTAAGCTGGGACCGCTAAAAAAATATTTTTATTAATTCTTAGAGAATTTCATAACAACATATCTTGATTATATTCAACCCCTACCCCTCCCCTGAACTCCTGCCAGACCCACGCACCCCCAGTGTCCTCTGGTTTTTGACTATCTCACAGTAGCTGTCTTGACCCTCTACCTCCTAAAATCTCTTTCTGATACTTCCTGATTTTAATGGGATTGTTTATTGACTTCTTTTTCTCTATTTAAGACAGTGGTTCTCAACCTTGCTAATGCTGCGACCGTTAATGCAGTTCCTCATGTTGGGGTGACCCCCAACCATAAAAAAAAATATTCTCATTGCTACTTCATAACTGTAATTTTGCTACTGTTATGAATCATAATATAAATATCTGATATGCAGGATATCTGGTATGCGACCCCTGTGAAAAAGTCATTCAACCCCCAAAAGGATGCGACCCACAGATTGGGAACTGCTGGTTTTATGAGATTATTGGCTGTTTTTTATATATATATAACCTTTATTTTAAGGTTTGTTCTTTCCAGTCTGATTCTTCAGGATTTTTATCCATAAAAGCATTTGGGAGTTTGTCAAAGACTTTCATGTTTGAATTGAGGTGGTCTTGTGACGATTTTTTACTTTAAGCCCATTTATATGATTTGTTTACTTACATATATTGATTGACTCATCCCTGCATCTCTGGGATAAAACCAACTTGATCATTTAGTTTGCAAGTATTTTATTGATAGTTTTTGTATCTTTGTATATCTGGAATATTGGCTTGTAGTTTTCTTTTTTGTGTGTGTCTGTACGTAGCTTGGGTATTAAAATAATACTGGCTTCTTGAATTACATTTTTAAGCTGATTTTTATTCTACTGACTGACTTCATGGATAGAAAATAAAATCAAAACAATATTTTTGTTGTTAAATTTAGCTTGCTCAAAGTATTTACTCATTGCAGAGGGTGTTGTGTGCTGTAGACTAACTGCCAGAAGACTTGCTCACCTGCAAACTGCAGAAAATGCAATAATGATAATGTGGTTAATGGAATAATAATAATAGTAATAATAATAATAATAATAATAATAATAATAATGGAATAATAATAATAATGTGGTTACATTAACCACATTATTTTTCATCTTAGATCAGAGGGATTATATCTGTGAATATTGTGCTCGGGCCTTCAAGAGTTCCCACAATCTGGCAGTACACCGGATGATTCACACGGGCGAGAAGCCATTACAGTGAGTATTTACTTGCTAGTCAACATCTGGGTAGGAGTGCATTTACCTCTCTTGGAGGTTTCTTGTCCCTTGTAAACATTTCAGTTGTCACTATTTACTTTTACTAAATTAAAGACTAGATATTCATTGGGGAGTTATTGTTGACTTTTACTTTGTTTTGCTGTTCTTTATAAATATATTTTTATTAGTTTGAGAATTTATTCTGCCTTAACTACTTCGAAGCCACCCTGCCCAACCCCCTTTCTGAAATAAGTCATGGAACACAGTTTGTGCTGCCTATATACTTGAATAGGACTTTTTTTGTTCGTTTGTTTGCTGTTGCTTTGCAAACAAATTTTTTTTAGTTAGATTTCCATCTAACGGTTTCCTAATCCTTCATAAGAAGTATGTGCTATGAATTATTGTGTGTTTATGTAATTTTTTTAGTTCTCACCTGGTACTTGATTTAATAGTTCTCTGCTTGATCATTCATTTCCTTTGGCTTTCCTTTAGATGTGAGATTTGTGGATTTACTTGTCGACAAAAGGCATCCCTTAATTGGCACATGAAGAAACATGATGCAGACTCCTTCTACCAATTTTCTTGCAATATCTGTGGCAAAAAATTTGAGAAGAAGGACAGCGTAGTGGCACACAAAGCAAAAAGCCACCCTGAGGTGCTGATTGCAGAAGCTCTGGCAGCCAATGCAGGCGCCCTCATCACCAGCACAGATATTTTGGGCACTAACCCAGAGCCCCTGACACAACCTGCAGATGCTCAGGGGCTTCCTCTTCTTCCTGAGCCCTTGGGAAACTCAACATCTGGAGAGTGCCTACTGCTAGAAGCTGAAGGGATGTCTAAGTCATACTGCAGTGGGACAGAACGGGTGAGCCTTATGGCTGATGGAAAGATCTTTGTGGGCAGCGGCAGCAGTGGGGGCACTGAAGGGCTGGTCATGAACTCGGATATTCTCGGTGCTACCACAGAGGTTCTGATTGAAGATTCAGACTCTCCTGGACCTTAGTGCAAAGGAAGACTTTGGGCACTGGGACAGTGCAGACTTTGTATTTAAAAGATAAAAAGGACAAAAAAAAAAAAATTTAAAGCATTTAAAATCTAGTAAAATAACTGAAGGGCCTGCTCTTTGCATTGTGGATCACAGCACACAGACACACACACATACACAAACACAGAGTCTCTATCCCCCCTTCTCCTTCCCTCTCCCTCTACCCCTTCCCCTGAACTCCCCTCACTCATCCTTAAAACATTGATGTTGCCTTTACCAGAAAGGTCATTGAAAAAGCAGCAGCATACTTGGTTCCAGCCAACAGCTGACTTCCTGCTCATTGGCAGATCTCCTTTTCCCAACCTATAACTGATGTGCTCTGGATCAGCTTTTAACTCATAATAATATATTACTGTCATTTAAATCTTTTCTCCTCTACTGCTGCCCTATGGCTCTGGCTTCTCCCCACTGCAACAACCAACACTTATCAAATATTATATAATTCTATTTTCTGAAGGCTGGCAGCTTGACTTGGCACTTTAGGGCCCCTTAGCAGGATGCTGTTAAAACAGCACATATCTCTCACCCCTCTTCCATTATTTACTGGGTTTGGGGAAGGAAGGATACATGGGGACCACCTCCCTCCCCTTCAGTGGATCCCAGCACCTCAGTCCCCCCTCCCAAACCTCCATATGGCTCTTAATGGTGCTCACTTGCTTGGAAGCAGGCTCCCAAGAGAGAGGGGACTGCCCTGTGTACATACAGTCTTCTGTAAGGCTGTAAGACAGGGCTCTATGTCAGTGAGAAAAGTCCCAGGCTAATGGCAGAAATTTGCACTTTGAACATGTGTGTTTTTGTGTTGTGGAACCTGAGATTCCTTATTTATTAATGGAAAGTCTGATTTTGGGGGGGGAGGGTCTTTGTTGCTATGTTTTGTGGGGCTGGGAGAGTAGATTATTCTGACATGGGATCCTTCCTACAAGAGGTACTTTGAAGGCAAGGCTTAGAGTTAAAGAAGCACAGCCAGCCTCTAAAATCATAGTTTTCCAGTGGCCTTTAAAGAAAGCTGGTCCTCAGCACTAACAGAATCACTACAGTAGCCTAGTGCTTTTTTGGAAGCCTTAGGGAAGGTTGATAGGTTTGTGGTAACTAGTGTGCTCTTTTGAGATACAAGGATTTGAGGGGATGAGGAATGTTGTTCAAGGTCTGAATCACACTTAAAAGATTTTTTTCTTCTGTGAATTTATTTTCTCTTTTTGTCCTTACTGTTTCTTTGCATTTATCTCCCTGCTGACCTAACTGGCTCCTTGTTTTGATTTCGGTTTTGGTTTTGTCATTGGTCATTCCAGCTCTCCCTTAGTGGGAGACTAGACCGTGTCATTCATGAAGGAACAAAATTAAGAGTCCTAGAGTTTTGGTTAAGAGAAAACTGTTGTGTCTTGTTTCCCCTATAGAAAAGACAAAATTTGAATAGACATAAACAAAGGTGGAAATCTGTGTGATAATGTCTTTGGCTTTCCCCGAATTATCTATTTTCCTTGGAGTAGGAATTTTAATGCATTGTGGATTATTAATATCATTGGGAGACGCAGATCGTGTTTTTACATGCTTATACCTCTCAGAAGACTAAAACCCTAATTCAGCTTCCCTTTTTTTGAGAATTAGAAGTGCAGTTCCTCCCTGTGTGCTCCAAAATCTGCCATTGAAGACCTGGCCGGTTGTCAGAAATACATGATGACTGTTGGGAAAATTAAGAGTCTGACTGAGAACAAAATAAGGAACAGCTTGTTTTTCACAAACACTAAAACTATGGAGTTTATCAAATTTTCTCTGTTTAATTTTTTCTCAAAAAAATGTCATCTCTGAAAGACACTTACTGTACACCCACCAATGTCACTGGTTGGGATGCCAGGGAGGAGGGAGGAAGACACCTACAGGAACAATCTTAAACACATTATTGTTTTCTCTAGTGTTGCAGGATTTGCCATCCCTTCCATGAAAGGGAAGAGAAGGCGTGAAGACAGGCTGTCCTACCCCACAGAGTTTGACTTTGGTACATTGGTTTGAAATGTATATTGACTTTGGTACATTGGTACACAGATTTGAAAATACTGTAAGAGTAATTATAAATGGAACTGCAACAAAGTTGCTCTACTTGATACTGTTTCTCTAGCTAATATATGTATCCTACACTTACCCTTTGTTTTTCACATTTAGACTGTCTCCATAAATTTCATTTAGAGTGATTACTCATCCATCAGATATAGCCACCCACAGAAAAGCAGACTGCATTGTAAACATCTCTTCTTTCTGGGATGGGGAGAAATGTTCTTTTCTGTACCTCACTCCCCTCCCCAGGAAAGCAACTAGTTATAATAATTAGAAACTTCCTGTCCTCTCATTTGGGGGAGGGGATGTAAAGGGGGCTGGGTCATCTTCATAGCTACCATTTGCTGACAATAAATTATTGTAGCAGTTTGCAATAAATTTTAAGATATTTTTCATGAACTTTTTTTTCTTTTGAGAACAAGTGCTAGCATAGTAAAAATCTATATGAGCAAACTAAGCACCATTCCCATTTTATTTCTTCCCATGCCACTTGTTGAATTGTCCTTTAAGGAGTCCTTTTAATCTTAAAAAATGATAGATATTTCATACTCATATCTTACTACCTTTTAAATAACTAGTCATACCTTCATTTTCAATTGGCAAGTCTAAATTTTATGGATATAGTTGTGATAATTACTCGGTATTTCTGGGAGTTATGCATACTCCTTGCTTGGGTTTCTGGTGTATTTTACATAATTAGACCCTAATACATTTTACAGGATTTAGTCAGACACTGACTGGGAGTCCTGGGGATGAGCATGCACAACATCATTATAGAGCACTTGGACCTCCCTTACACCTGTTTGGAGGAAGAATGTGAACCCAACCACCAACCTAAGTGAGGTTTTACAGCCTCACTGCAGACCAGTTTAGCTCCTGTCCTTCTAATTTTCCATATACTCAAGAAAATCAGAACATTGTAATGGGGCAGTTATATTTCCTAAAATCTTTTTTGCCTGTTGAAATGTGCAGGACCCTTTTCCTGTGATGAGAGATAGGTGGTTACTTGATTTAGGTTTAAAAGTTATGTAAAAAAAAAAATTATAATAAAAGGGATACTTTGCTTTTAAAATCTTGTTTTCTCTTAATCTAGGTAACCATATTCAAAATAAGTATGTAAAGAAGAAAAATAAAAGTTGTCTTCCTGGAAGCAACTGGTCTTCCTTGGTTGTACTGAGTTAGTCATCCGAGAGTAAAACAGTTGATGCTGCTAAATGAAGAAAACAGATTCCCCCAGGGTAGGCTTTTGTATGCTGCTATTTGCTCTTTGTTGAGAGTTGGGTAGCGGTTCTAATGCTGAGATGCCTTGTAGTTCCGTGTTTGGCAGCCTCCAAATGGTGTTTCAGTTGCTTACTTGGGGACATTAGGATACTGTGAAATACAGTTTACTCTGATAATGACAGAACCTTGGTTGCATTTAACATCAGTGCTTCTTGACAAAGCTGTTAATACCTATGTCAAGTTCTAATTTAAAGAGAAAACATAGTCTAACCTTGGTAAAAGTTCAATGACAGTCATTCCTCATTTATTATATGCCTATGTCAACTTGCTCCTCAGATGGCAAATGTTTGAACTTCTTGGCAACGTGTGATATGAAATAGGGACACTCATTGACCCATTTAAGGATGAAACTTTTAAACTTTAGCCAATTAGCATCACCCACTGAGTGCAGTACGATAGAATGGCAGATCTGTAAGCACCTTTTAACTCTTTTGTCCTCATTTCAAAGCCTTGTTCATTCATTCAAAGCCTTGTTTAGCATGGAGTATGACTGGGACTGGGAAGAAAAGGAAGCGTGTTGTCACTTGAGTAAAACTGCCTCAGAAATATTACCAAGTTAGGGTTGGGTGTTTCCTTTGGGAGCAAACAGGCCTAAACAGTGCCTTCCACATCCTGTAGCTACTAGGAAGGCACCATGATTGAGATTAGAGATGCTCCTTTAGCTAATTTTTAAACAAGTTTAAATTAACCTTATGAAGTATGGGAATGGAAAGATGCTACAAAGGACCTGTATCACACAGTCTTTGTCTCTTGCACAAAACAGGAGCTACACAAAGAAATGGTAAAGGGAGAGGGGAGGCAGGATAAACCCAAAGACCAGTGGAGAAACACGAATCTAGTTTATTGGATTAACTTCTTTGATAGTTTCTTATATATCAAATGAGAAAATATTATTTACACCCAAAGAGAACTAATATATAGCCCAGAATAACCCTAGGAATCAAATGAAGTTTAAATGCTGTAAGACAGTATTTAATAAATGGCACCTAACTCAATAATACACTTTACCATATTAAAAAAAATAGAATGTAGAAAGCAGAATAAAGTCAACAGATTATATGTATAAATAACAGACTATGTTAGGCAGGGGTGGGTGTCATGAGGATTAGTGTGATAGTGACCTTGTTGCTAAGTACAAAAGCAAAACAATGACATAAAAACAAGTGCTAAGTACTGAGTGGAGGAGAGAGATGGAGGCAGACGCTTCGGAAAAAAAAAAAAAAAAAAAGACTGATTAAAAAGGGCCCTTTGATTCCACAGGCACAAAAATCCACAGCCAGGAATTTGCTGCCACCTCTGAGTCAGGCAGGGGGTGGGGATGGGGGTGCACAATCCCATTAGAGAATGCCCAGTGGATTTAGTCTGTGGGAGTCACATTTCTTATTTGGCCCAGTGAAGACAGAGGCAAACCAGCTCACTTGTTTCCTGGGACAGTTGATTTAGGATGGCTTTTGCAGAGCAGTCACCTCTGACCCTTCACCGCCGGGACCTCTGTAGCCGTTCTATCTGGCTAGCAAGGAAGATTCGTTCAGACCTGACTGCTCTTATGGAATCTTATGTAAGTTGTCTATTTTGCTGTTGTCTGTTTTCAACTCAACTCTTAACCATCAGTGTTTAAACCCATAACCAATTATGAAAACTAGTCTTAATTGTCATTCATATATTAAACACCTATAATTTGGCATGGCCTCTCCCTTGAGAAAACTCATAACCTTACTGTCTTCTCCTAGGCTGCTTAAGAGACAGGTCTTTTCCTTGAGTGAGAAGATACATTAGTTGATTGTCTTTTTTCTGACTCCTACCAGGATAGACAGTAGACTTTCTAAGTTTTGGTTCTTCATAGAATTTTTGAGCTTTGGAAATAAAAGGGTTGTAGCTCTAGGAAGAACCTTAATGGAATTTTGGAGAAATTTATAGTTTCCCTCTGTACAGTATAAGCTATCTACATTTTAGTTTTCCACATCAGAAGTATACATGTAACTAAATAGATTTGTCAAAAATATTCCCTGGAATATTCGCTAGAGTCTTGTAGAAATGTTAAATTAACCATCTGGGTTAATTAATTTAGTTGCAAAGAACAGCAACTATATATCTTCAGATTCTATTTGGGGGAAAAATGGGGCGCACTGTACTTCCATACTTGGAAGCTGGGGCTATGCCTTAATAGACTGGTTTAGTGTTGACTAGGGTTAATCACTTTTTATAGCAAGTTAACGGATGAGTGATAAAGGTACTATAGCTAGATACTCGACAGTGGGTAGAATGCTCAGGTTAAGTAGAGTTCTGGGTTTTCTCATTAAGGGCCTCCAACTAAAGGACTGCTGTGATACTATTCCAGGCCTCAGATAAAGTTACAAATTTATGTTCTCTAAGAATTGATAACTTTTGAAAAGCCTTGCCATTTATTAGACTCTAATGGTTACTCTTTTAAACCCAGTTCCTACTATGTTTTAAAGGATTGATCTCAACATGAGAGTAAACATGGGGGAATAGGGAAATTCAGATAGTCCTTCAAGATCGTGGCTCCCCAAATGAAGGATTTCTATTCTAGACATTTTCTCTACAACTTGGGTCTTTGACTGTAGAAGTGAAGGAGATTTTATTTGCGATTGAAGAAAGGAATTGAGATGATATCGAACATACCATGTTTTGCTATATCCTCGGCCAGGTGAAGCATCAGGGCCTGAATAAAAATATCAGCCTGGACTCTGTGGATGGTGTGCCAGTGGCAAGCACTGATCGATGGAGTGAGATGACTGAGGCAGAGCGACTCCAAGAGAACCTCCAGGCTTACCGTACCTTCCATGGGATGTTAGCCAAGCTTTTAGAAGACCAGAGGGTGCATTTCACCCCAACTGAAGGTGACTTCCATCAGGCAATACATACTCTTCTGCTCCAAGTTTCTGCCTTTGCCTACCAGCTAGAGGAGTTAATGGTGCTTCTGGAACAGAAGATCCCTGAAAATGAGGTTGATAGGATGCCTGTCACTGTTGGAAATGGTGGCCTTTTTGAGAAGAAGCTATGGGGCCTGAAGGTCCTTCAAGAGCTTTCACAGTGGACCGTGAGGTCAATCCATGACCTCCGTGTCATTTCCTCTCATCAGATGGGAATCTCAGCACATGAGAGCCATTATGGGCCCAAGGACAAGCAAATGTAGCAGTTAGCCCTTCCCTCTCCTTTCTTGTTCTGGTGAGATATAGGTAGTTCCCTAAGGCCTCGTTTTCTCAGAATCAATTTTTGAAAACCTTAAACTACAGGCATTTTCATCAAGTAGGGTTGGCTCACATATGAACAGATGGATATACAGGGATATTCTGGGTGTATACATATGTGTGCACATGCTTTTTTTGTATTGGTGATACAGTAGAGTAGAAACAAGGGCACTATCCTCATACCTTCGTGCTTTGACGTTCCTTGATACTAAGTGGCCTTTCTAGGCATTTAACAGCCTTACAGGCAGAAGAGAAATTGTTACTAGTTCTAGTTGACTTCTGAAAAGACTAAATAAAGAAATAGGAAGTCCTAGACTATCCCTGTTTAAATTACCATAATAAAAATAACATTGCTGTGCTGAGGCAATGAGTGTTGCATGGCTTTATGTATATTCTAGATAACTTTACATCTTTGTCTCAGAGGGTTAGAAGATGTGTCATGCAATCTGTCCCTAGCACTGAAAAGCAGCACTTGCTACACATCCTCAGAAGTCAGCAAAAGACAGCCATCCTCAAGTATTTGTTGCCCACACCTGGCAAAGAACAGCAACTATACATCTACAGATTCTATTTGGGGGAAAAATGGGGCCCACTGTACTTCCATACTTGGAAGCTGAGGCTATGCATTAATAGACTGGTTTAGTGTTGACTAGTGTACTTGATGATTGGGTTAATCACTTTTTATAGCAAGTTAACAGATGAGTGATATAGGTACTATAACTAGATATTCGACAGTGAGTGGAATACTCAGGTTAAAGAGTCACAGAGCTCCATCACCTTACATTCTCTAGGCTTAGTCATGAGGGGAGGATGAGGTCTGGTTGGTCCCCACTGAGAATGCCAGAGATTCTTAAACAACACAGTAACGCTCCACTTTTAATGTTCTTGTGAGAGCCACACAGCATGGAAGACTAGGAAACACATCCCTGGGGAAGGTCATTTTCGCTGAGGCCTATGCATTACTGGTGCATTGTGAATCTAACAATTTGTTCGTACCATTTGTTTTTTACTTTAGTTAAACCTGAGAGATCATGAGTTGGGGGCCACATCTAATCATGACATCTTGCTTCATAAATGAACCATGAGTCAGAGAGGGCTACTTCCATAAGTTGCATGAGGTGGGGATATGTGATTCATCTTGTATCCTCTCTAAGGGGTTCTATGCAGGCTAGAACTCTGATCAAGTATGTGACAGGACTCAGCCAAGCACTGTAGTAGCTCAGAGGAAGTGAGACCCTGCTTTCTACTGTGTTTGTGAAAATACAGTTGTGTGTGTATAAAATAAAGAGACCAAAACTAGGGTGGGATTATAAAGAATTGAAAGAGATCAATTAAAGCCACAAATAAATGTGTTTCTGGGTTGGTGTAGTACAATATAGAATAGACTCCAATAGAAAAAAACAAGTTGGCTCAAGGAAACAAGTTAGACACGGTAAACATCTGGACCCAGCACCATAAAAGGCCTATTTTGTTATATTCCATTTGTGATTTTGGTATAGATAATTTCTCATTTTGTTTAGAAAGGCTTATTTTATTTGTGCTTTTTAAATTGTTATGTTTGTCAGCAGCATTTTCCATTTAATAAAGTATGTTAACAAGGTTCATGTTTGAAAAAAAGTGGGTCTAAAATTTCATTAGGGGGAATAACAAGATTACGAACAATACGTCATGAGTGACCCCTCTCCTAGGGTTTTTGTGTCTCACAGGTGTGACAGATACTGCAGGATTTTCAGAACTCAGTGAGTCTGGCTTAAGCTGCATTCAGTTGCATATGAAGGAATATGTATATAGGTTCCAAGTGGAAGGCAGCCCAGAGAAAGTACAAATATTAAATGAGAAGAAATAGAAAGATGTCTCAGTCCTGTAGCTCAAAGAAATGGTGAGTTTCTTGAGTGCCCTGTTCTATTGTGTCATCAGATTCATCTTCAAAAAACTTGGTGGTGTATGGCAGCATCCCAGCATTCAGGAAGTTGATGGATTGGGAGTTAGAGGGTGGCTTGGACTGCATAATAAGAATGTGTACGTACATATACCCCAAGAAGAAAAACAAGAAACTTAAAGTATGCCTCACAGCAGTATGTAGAAACCTTTCAGGAAAAAAAAGAGCAGGGAGTGAGTGGGGAGATGTCTCAGTGGGTAAGAGTGTTTGTCCTGCAAGCATGAGGACCAGAGTGTGAATACCCAAAAACATGTGAAAGCTGAGCATGATTGTGTGTGCCTGTAACACCAGCATTGGAGAACAGAGGCAGAGTGGATCCTGGGAGTTCACTGGCCTTACCAAAACAGTAAGTGTCCTATGACACCGTTTCAAGACAATAATGCAATAATAGATGAAGACACTTGGCATCCCTCTTTGACCTGAGCATGCATGCAGACTCACATGTGCCACACATGCACATACACAAATTAATTTTTAAAGGGGGTGGGTGGAGCTGGGCATGGTGGTGTACACCTTTAATCCCAGCACTCAGGAAGCAGAGGCAGGAAGACTCAATTCAAAGCCAGCCTGGTCCAGCTTTAGTACTACATAGACTGTCGCAAGAGAAGGAAAGAATAAAAGGGTAAATGGGTACTTAGCTATATAACACAAATATAAACCCGTGTGAGAGATGGCATATGTAGAAAATGCATGGTGTTTACCAGAAAGGCATAAAATTGAATGAAAGGCTGACAATGTGCCAATGCTCTAGGTGTATCTTAATAATGCAGATAATTGTACTGTGGACACCAAAGATCTTAATGGGCCTGGGAAAGGGGTTGCTTTCAGCATGGGACATGAAACCTAGTGCCTCACATAATAAGCAAGCACTCTACACTGAGCTCCAGTCCCAGCATATTTGGAAGGGTATAGTTTTTAAGGATTCACAAGGTCAATGAGATTTTTCCTTAGATTTTATTCCCTTATTTCATATTCCTGTCTATGGATAGAATTGCTAGAAAATCATAGTAAGATATATAAGTTCAGTTCCTCCCCTTTAACCTTTACATTGTTTTAAAAAGAGAGAGAGATTCTACCCCACACCCTCCAAAAAGTTCTCTGAGGCTGAAGATTCTGTTTCCCTGAATTGCATGAATGAGGCCTGACAAAATCTCCTTAAGGTGATGATATGAAAGACTTAAATTTAGCACAAACTTGAGGCCAAGCATGGAAAAGAGTCAGTTTTAAGATGCTGGAAATTGAGAGAAGTAATTGTTTTAGTAAAACATGCAGAGTATAAAGTCATAGCCCTGATATTGCTGTTATTTCTGACTGCTGTGGATGAAAGCCCAATGACACTGTTGTGACCTCTGGCCAGAAGGGAAAAAGTCTGAAAAGTAATTTCAAATGACTTATCATGCGTCCTTGGGTCCTCACTGAATACCAAAGCATCAGCTCATTTATTGCTTTTATTAAGGGTTAGCAACATAGAAGTAGGCTTCCACCAAAATGAGGAATAGTGGGGGTTGAGTTGAGGTTTCAGTTGATCCTGGTTGTGGTATAATGTGGTTTGGGAACAGGGAAATCTTTAAAAGAGATGGTTTGGCGTCAGCTTCAAGCTTCATGGTCGAAAATGAACCCTCTAAATGCTGGTGCATTCAAAAGTAAAAGGCAGTAGAACAATCTCACCACAAAAGCTTTTACAGAACTCTATCACTGATAAGAAAAAAAATGAAATGTTTGGTGTTTAAGATAAAAACATCCATGTGCTTGAGATTCTTAACAAAAGAATGTTTCTTGGATCGATCTATTTTGGGCACAGAAAATAAAAGATGCTAGAATGGCTAACAATAGAGTTCTCTTCTCAGCAAGACCACAAGTTACTTCTTTTATTTCTGTGTCTTTGGATGAACAAGGGGAATTTCAAGTGATTTCAACACTGGATGAAATGTAATCCTCTCAGCCAGGGCCAGGCTCGATCAAGCATGCTGGGTAAATCTCCATGATGCCAGGCCACTGGGCAAAAATCCCAGGGTCAGGCAGACTGGAAAAGGCTGAGTGCCCCTACACCAGCAGGCCAAATGCTCCTGCAACTCTCTGAATATGTAGTTCAATCACCTAGGCTGTAAATGATGAAGATTTGGTTTAATTTGAAGTATTTTATTCCTAGCCAAGCCTTTGGCTGAAAAAGATCTCTGAAGAGTCCATTTCTGGTTATTTTAGAGGTAGAAATTAAGTTGTGACAAACCACATAGGTGAAAATAAAATTGCTGAGTGTGTATTTCTGTCTGCATGATGATGTAGTAGGAAAGAACAATGCATTTACTTAGCATATAAGACAACTTGACACTGTTTCATGCTATTTAATCCTTTGAGATATTATCGTCTTTCACAGATGAGGGAAATGACAATGGGCATTAATTTGTTCAAGTTTATTCCTCTAGCATATGACAGGACTGAAGATTTAATTCTGGTCTCAAAGCTTTCTTCTATTCTCATATCGTGAGAGACCTGGTGACCAAGATCATCCGATTCTGAAATCCACCTTCACCTCTATAGTTCACTTTCCTTGGACAAAACCAGTATCAACTTGTCCCAAAGGGTAACAAAACCAATTTAAGTTCCCAACCTGGGACAAGTCACTTTCTCTGAGCTCCTCACTTATGAAATGGAAATGATGACAAATACCTGACCTCACAGGTTGTTACACAGTTCAGACAAATTATCTGTATGTACTTGTAAATGGCATGTGAACTTCAAGTGTATTTAATAACTCAAGCAGCTTAGATTCAAGTTACACTTTGGACTGAGGAGTGTACTCTAAATATTCCAGAGATTGTCATTTTCTCCCCAGGATGTACCTGGTGGGGTCATAACCTAGTTTTTACCTTGTTGACCTTAGGCTACAAAATACCAACCCAACTTCACTCCCAGCCCCCAGGAATCCTATGTCGCTGGAGAGTTTGAGGCACAGGCTGTTCACTGTACACAGAAGATGGCTTTCTCTGTAGTATAGTCAGACAGGCCCTGGAGACACCTGGCAAGCCCTAGACAGGAGAGCCAAGGCACCACCCAAGATGTGTTAAAGCATGCATTTAGACTCATCCTTCTTATACCCACACCCTCCTCTTAATACAGGAAGGAACTCAAACTTCATTTAGTCCTGTCCTTTATTAGGCACCTAGTGTGAGAGAATCAAAGACATTCCAAAATCTGTCCCAATATCCCAGCTCCAAAGAGAAAGAATGAGAACTGCCATATAAGTCTGCACCACACACACACACAAACACACACCACTGCACCCTCTGGCCTCTCCATTAGACCAGCTTTCAGAAGGCATCAGCTGTCTCTTTCATCCTCATTATCTTAACACTCAGCCTCTTCAGCTCCTGTACCTCTAATAACCCTTTGAAGCTCTAGGACTTAGCTCCTTTGAAACTCAATGGTTCCAAGTATTGGAACCCTTCATAGCTTTAGCAACTCATAACCCTACATTTTACTCCCCAACCACAAGCTCTGTTGTAATCTAATATCCTATATCCTATCCCTCTATGACATGGTGAGAGATGTAAAATACATTCTAAAATCCTTCCCAAGACTGAAGGCACCCAGAGAAGACTTTAAATAATATTCCAAGAAACATGTTTTCAGGTCAGATGTTGATCATGTCATAAAGCTAGGGTAAGAGTTAAGAAATTTCTCTTGCTTAACAGCTACCAACCCAGTTCTTATGCCCAACTCAAGATAGCAAGAGATTGAGGGTTATACAAATAACTTGAAAGGTCATGAGAATAATGCCAATATTTTCAAGCTACCGTAAAGCTTTTAAAGTTCAACTTTTGGAAGTTGCCTGCCAAAGTTCAACCAATTTTAACAGCAATGCGTTTTGACAGAACTATTTTGGGTCTCTGCTGACACAGAAGTGAATGATAAAGATAAGTGTATGTGGTATTTACTCTGTGCCAGGTGTTGTTCTAATTGCTTTCCAGACATTTTCTCCTATATTCCTCTTTAGAAGTCTGTAAGATACATAGAAAGATCTTTGCTTTACAAAGGAAACAGTGAAGGCATAAAGCATAGCTGATCATTGATTGTACTTGAAACACCCATCGTCCCTTGGAAATGACAGCAGAATACAACTGTGCTGTGGGATGGTCTGTATGTCAAATGTGTTGCTCTGATTGGTCAATAAATAAAACACTGATTGGCCTGTGGCCAGGCAGGAAGTATAGGCAGGACTAACAGAGGAGAATTGAGAGAACAGGAAGGCGGAGGGAGACACTGCCAGCCACCGCCATGACAAGCAGCATGTGAAGATGCTGGTAAGCCGTGAGCCACATGGCAAGGTATAGATTTATAGAGATGGATTAATTTAAGATGTAAGAACTAGATAGCTAGAAGCCTGAGCCATTAGGCCAAACAATTTAAATAATATAAGATTCTGTGTGTTTATTTTATGAATGGGCTGTCAGACTGCTGGTGCTTGGTGGGACTGGAGAGAAAACTCTCCAGCTACACAGCTGTCAGGATTTGGTGTGCTTAGCAGTTCATGTGGATAACCCAGAGTGGTGAAAGCACAGAAAACACACTTTAAAATTGGGCAACCTGACAGTTGGGCATTGAAGGACGATGAGGATTTTGCCCTTAAGAGAATAATAATAATAAAAGAGAGAGGCAGGCAA